GGTTTCTTAAACATGGTTTCTTGAACATGGTTTCTTGAACATGATTTCTTGAACATGGTTTCTTAAACATGGTTTCTTGAACATGGTTTCTTGAACATGGTTTCTTGAACATGGTTAAATGAGCAAGATTTCGACTTGAATTCAATTTCCTTTTTACAGTTTGCAACGGTTTCTCTTGAAATTTTCTTTCTGACAGTATTTCTTACTCTGATAGTTAAACTGAATATAGGATTTGTTTCATGACCCAGCATTAATATTGTAATCTATTGTTCAATATCTATACATATATTCATGTAGAGAGGGTGCAGGACTAAGAATAGAAGATCCATGCATAAACTATGCAAACCTAATTCTTAACAAAAGCAGGACCAGGAAACTTTAGACATGATCATTGTGTAAAACCGAGTGTTGTTTATTATCGGGATACTGAACTTAAAGTTCCCTTTTTCTACTTCAAATGTCCCTTAATTTTATTCAAAATATCCAAAAAATTTCATATTTCGGTTTGTGGCCTAAACTCAATTCATTTCCCTGAAAAATAATTTTCTCTCCTTTAAATGAGCTTAAGGTACAAGATAATAAACTCAACTTAACTTTTTGGATACATATGTAAATGCACAAACATTATTAACATTAAATGATATTTTAAAGGTTCTACTACTCTCCTAACCTAAGATATATATCCTAATCAACTAGTTCTAGTTTCATATTTTCTATCCTAATTTTCAAACTTTATATGGTTAATTTATTTATTGTTTAGTAGCGCACACATTCTAAATAAGTCAACCCAATTTCAGATTTTTGTCAAATATATAAGCATACAGGAATGATAAACATGCTTAACAATGCAAATGTAAATGTATTAAGAAAAAGTTCTGAAATAAATTCAACGGTAATTATCAAAATTTGGCACGACATTGAAATATTAAAGAACACACATCTAGGGGAAGAAAGTTCCGTATTTGTCCCAAACCTGAAATTTTAGAACATGTCACATTGTTGAAGCTAATGCTAAGTAAAAGGAAGTAAACTTGATATGACATAACTGTCACAACTTTGTTACCTCGTAGCTTCACTAGTTTGGTTTTACGCACAAGTTTGAGAAAAGAAAATTTATTAGTTTACTTATTAAGAGCTTCAAACATTTATAAATGTACTTCTAACAGCTTCTGCCTTCTTAATAGGAGGACTATATATTACCCTGTAGGCCTATATATTACCCTGTAGGCCTATATATTACTGTAGGCCTATATATTACCCTGTAGGCCTATATATTTACCCTGTAGGGCCTATATATTACCCTGTAGGCCTATATATTACCCTGTAGGCCTATATATTAACCTGTATGCCTGTATATTACCCTGTAGGCCTATATATTACCCTGTAGGGCCTATATTTTACCCTGTATACCTATATATTACCCTGTAGGCCTATATATCACACTGTAGGCCTATATATTACCCTGTATGGCTATATATCACCATGTTTCCGTATATTTCCCCAAGAGGCCTATATATCCTTCTGTATGCCTGTAAATCTCACTGTATGCCTATATTTCACCCTGTATATCTTTATATCACCCTGTATGCCAATATAAAACCTGAATATGCTATATCTGTATGCCTAGATATCACCCTGTAGGCCTATATATCACCCTGTATACCTATAATATCACCCTTCATTTGTCTATATATCACCCTGTATGCCTACATATCAACCCGGTATGCTAAATATCACCCTGCAGGGCTGTATATCACCATATTTGCCTATATATCACCCTGTATCCCTGTATATCACCCTGAATATGTCTATATATTACCCTGTATGCCTATTTATCACCCTGTATTTCTTTATCTCATCTTGTATGCCTAGATATCACCCTGTATGCCTATATATCACCCTGTATGCCTATATATCACCCTGTATGTTTATATACCACCCTGTATGCCTATATATCCCCCTGTATGCATATATATCACCCTGTATGTTTACATATCATCCTGTGTGCCTATATATCACCCTGTATGCCCATATATCACCCTGTATGCCTATATATCACCCTGTATGCCTATATATCACCCTGTGTACCTATATATTATCCTGTATGCCTGAATATCACCCTGTATGCCTGAATATTACCCTGTATGCCTATATACCACCCTGTATGTTGAGAATATCAGATTAGTTGAACTTGAGACAGTGCCCAGTTCGGAGCTAAACTATATATTCTGTATAAGACAGGATCAGCAGGAATTATGTTAGGCTTCTTCACCTTCTGCATTATATAAATTTGCACTCTTTCTTAATATACACAATTCATACAGTGGTGCACAATATAAGTATACCTTGTAATATTCATTACCTTCATAATATATATACACAATTCATACAGGGGTGCACAATATAAGTATATCTTGTAATATTTATTACCTTCATAATATACATACACATTTCATACAGGGGTGCACAATATAAGTATACCTTGTAATATTCATTACTTTCATAATATATATACACAATTTATACAGGGGTGCACAGTATAAGTATGCCTTGCAATAAAGATGACTTCATGATATACACAATTTATACAGGGGTGCACAATATAAGTATGCCTTGCAATAAAGATGACTTCATGATATACACAATTTATACAGGGGTGCACAATATAAGTATGCCTTGCAATAAAGATGACTTCATGATATACACAATTTATACAAGGGTGCACAATATAAGTATGCCTTGCAATAAAGATGACTTCATGATATACACAATTTATACAGGGGTGCACAATATAAGTATGCCTTGCAATAAAGAAGACTCATGATATACAAAATTTATACAAGGGTTCCCAATATCACCTGCACGTGTAATAATTTTCAAAGCTATATTTAGTTTTAAAACCAAATTTACAGAGTTTCCCACAAAGGATGAGACTTCAGAGACGATTGTATGAAATTTACACCGTTTATTTCCTAATATTTTTAAAGACTTTTTTCATTCAGTAAAAAAGTTAAATAAATACATATTACTGATTAAGATTCGTACGACAACATCTACATACATGTTATGTTAGGTTTAATAAAAAAACTATTTTACTACTATTTATATCAATTTAAATTATTTAGTGAATATTCAATTTTTTTGATCGGATTTCCATACTTTTTCTTTCATTATATGACAGGCAAAGCTTTGTTTTAGGATGCCAGTGTAGAACTTAACAACTTAACAAGGTATTGAATTATCTGATGTTGGAAAACAAGCACAGTAGTTTCCCACATTTTTAGTTGGAGTTCGGGTTCAGATTCAGACATAGGACTGGGTTCGGGTTCAGATTCAGACATAGGACTGGGTTCGGGTTCAGATTCAGATATAGGACTGGGTTCAGGTTCAAATTCAGGCTCTTGATCAGGTTCAAGTTCAGACTTGGAGTTTCCTTATATTCCTAACTCCCCACAACTGTTAACAAATTTTGCTCTTTACCAAATCATTTAAAAAGCCATTTAAAGACTATATTCGAGGCAGAATATTTAATTAAACCTAGAAATCATCATATTGTAAGAGTTTCCAATCACATCCTTTCAAATTCATGTTCCAGGTCGTAACTATTCTCATTATACTGCTTATCCCGAGGGTAACCCTGTAAAGAAACCTTGGGGTCAACAATCTATAAACGGAAAGTGATCAAAAAGGCCGCCCCTCCCCCCCCACATCATTGCTGTATGATGTATGTGCGTTACACAGACATAATTATGAGGGATGCCGGGGGGGGGGGGGGCAAAGGGAGTAGGTGAGGCGGCTACATTACTTTTTTGAGTCCTCATGTCCTCTGTTTAAAAATTAACAATTTGTTCTTATTGGGTGGTGTTATATATATGTATATATATATATATATATATATATATATAATTGTGATCTCTATTATTGTCTTTATCCGATACTATTCAGGAAAAACTTGACCAATTTGCATCAAATTTTGATAGGGGAATGGGAATATTATTAGCTTGGTTTTGAGATACTAAATTGTGTTGGTCCACTTTTAACGGGAAAACTAGCTAACATCATAATTTACGACAATGCGCAGGTAAACGGATGGACTAATTAAAACTTTCCTGGGCAACACGCTGGGTTCCCAAGCTAGTGTTTTTAAAAAATGTATTAAACTGTCCAATTAATCTCTCGACCGGCCCCCTCCACCCCCCCCCCCATCACAAAATGATATAAAAATATTCTATTTCCCTCACTGCTAGAATCTGTTTTTACAAAACAATTGATATTGACAATGACAGCTGCATGAGTGGCTTGAGCCAATTATATTATTAATTTTACTGTTTAAAGGGAGTGTTCGCGAAAAATGAAAGGGGCTATAGGCTTAATGCGATAAAAAAGCGTTTTTGATCGCTACTAATCTTACTTCTATCTGTTGCGTCTATAAGGAGAAAATTGATAAAGACGTCTCATACCGAAGAACGTACTGTCCATACAAATTGAGGAAGTTGGAACATACGACTTAGACTGTAAAAAAATCAAATTAATATCAAACAAATCATTCAGATATTACAACCTAAAGTCATCGATTATGTTTCGCCACATTTGTATATATTTGATATTTCTAATATGTTTTGATTTCATTTTTAAAAATAATATTTAGCTTACAACTTGTTTTCGAACATTCCTGGAAAATATGAAAATGTCGTCTTCATTACCAAAAATCCTCGAAACAGGAATAAACGTTTTTATAAGTAACTCTCAGATCATAACAATTAAAACATATTATGAAAAATCAACCATATATAAATGTGGCGAAAGACAATCGATGACTATAGGTTGTAATATCTGAATGATTTGTTTGAAATCAAATTTATTTTTTACGGTCTAAGTCGTATGTTTTCTCAATTTGTATGGACGCCATGTTATTCGGTATGTGACGTCGTTAACAATTTTCTCCTTATAGACGCAACAGATAGAAGTAAGATTAGTGGCGATCAAAAGCGCTTTTTTATCGCATTAAGCTTATACCCCCTTTCATTTTTCGCTAACACTCACTTTAATCTTGTCATTTCAGATTTTCTGTTTATTCAGGGTTTTCAAAATTAAGCCAAGACCAGAGGTAATCAGACTTTATATACACCGACACAAGAAAGTTCATTGAATTTTTTTTGTAACTGAAGTTTTTAGCAACAAATAAGTTCCTTAGAAAAAAGTCGGCAAAATGTAATGCTTTGATTAAAAACCCCAGTGATATTTTTCTTTGGAAACTGAAATTGAAATTTATTTCTGAAACTTATCGACGCTCTTTTTCTTACATGAAATTAACAATACCGCCAATGCGAGAATAAATTCTAAATAGATCAGATACCATATAGATCGGATGCCCAATAAGTCGGTTTCCTTAGCACACATACATCTACTGTACGATTGTACTGTATTAACAACGTAATTTTATTTTTAACTGTTTTATTTTCTTATTTGTTTTTGTTCTGTGTAAGTGAAAGTTCTCTAAATTAATATCCAACAAATTCTAGTATTTACACATTTACTATCAATATTTACTACTGCAGTAAAGTATTGAAGGGAGCAAAGAAGTTTTCTGTTACTTTTTTGACAATGACCAATATGGACTTGTTAAAAATTTTGGTTCAGTTATAAGAGTCGTAGCTTTTTTTTCTTGACGCGACTCTGGGTTTCCAATAAGAAAATTGAGGAACAAATTTTCTTTATCATTATTATTATTATATTATTAACAAAGATGTATCAAAGAAAGTTTTCCATAACTATATCATCATGTAATTTTTAATTAGCTTTTCTTAGAAATGTGAAGTAATGAGCTATAAAAATATAAAGGAAGAGATAAGAATCAATGACCAGCTAGACCCCCCCCCCTGTATTTTATCTCGAAAGTCGGTTAAATAAGTATGCCTTGCAATAAAGATGACTTCATGATATACACAATTTATACAGGGGTGCACAATATAAGTATGCCTTGCAATAAAGAACCGTCCTTTTTTCCCTATTTTTAAAGAAAGAAAGTCAGCAGGTGTGTAATTTAATATACTACTGCAGAACAATTTTCTTTAAAATTCTTTAAATAACTTAAATCTACAAAACAAGGAAACTATTTATAAATAAATGCAATGATTGTAGTCAAAAATAATTTTTTTTTTGTTGAGTAAATCTTATAAACAATTGTTAATAAAACCCACAACCCTTCAATTATTAAGACAGAAAAAAAGCATTGAAATCGATTAAAAATAATAAAATGGTTAGCTATAGATGGCCGAACAGCTGGACCATATTGGCTGATTATTTAGGAAACCCATTGGCTTCAAAAGTTTTTTTTTTAATTCCATGGACAACAGCTAGTAATTAGTGTAAATTGTTCGCCTAAGTTTTGGAGGAATGATTTCTCTGCTGAGCTCTTATCTTTACTTTCTTCTCCTTTCTCCTCTTCTCTCTCAGTTCTAGTTTCATATTTTCTATCCTAATTTTCAAACTTTCTTCTCTTCTCTTCAAGAGAGATCCAAGAGAGATCCAAGAGAGATCCAAGAGAGATCCAAGAAAGATCCAAGAGAGATCCAAGAAAGATCAATGTTTGATTACAAGATTCACCAAAGTGTTGACTTCTATTAGATGGATTAAATGGCGCCAAATAAAAGAAAAAATTCTGAAAATAAAATGTCCTTTAATATAAAATAAACCAAGGGACTTGCTGCTGCATAAATATATGCCTTGGCAAACCAGTTTCAGGTCAAAAGGCAATAGGCGTATGTAGGGTTGTTAATCGTTTTTGTAAACGATCGTTAAACGATCGTTTTTTGTTTTGGTTTTAAAAACGATCGTTTAGTTTTCGAAAAAAAAACGATCGTTTTTAAAAACGACCCACTCGTTTTGAACTTTTAGAAAACGAATAGCGATCGTTTTTGAAAACGATCGTTTTAAATAAAACGATTTGCGACTGTAGGCGTATGTATACCTTTTCCGTATGTTGTGGGGACGAACCATATTATTCTGTTGTTCATTAGTCCCAGTCTTTGACACATTAAACAATTAGAAATAATAAGAAAAGCGCGCTTAAATTGTTTCCGCTCCTTGTTGATCAATATATGTTAACCCTTAACCCCCCTGATTCGAAAACTTTTTTTAGAACCCACGGGGACCAAGCTAAATTTGTTAGGTCCTATTTAAAATTTTAATTCGGATAAACGACTGCAAACTTTAGAATGAATTTATTAAAAATGTCAATTATAAATAATCAAAAGCTGACTTTACTTCCATAATCAAATGAAATCTGTTAAAAATGTTATAATATGCATTGCATAGTATACAAATAAAGTATGATATCACTTCATAATACTAGATATTCTCCAAACTTGAACGGCAAAGTTGTCTTCGCTCTTAAAATCTTGATAATAACTTCCTTTTAAACATTCTTAGATTTTTTTGCAAAAAATATTTTTGTGAAGTTTTGAAAAATGTATTTCAGGTCTGTATGGTTGTTCACCAGATCCCAGGGTTGGGGGGTGGAGTCGGACTGTCCCACCTACCCCAGGCCCCCGAGGAGGACAAGGAGGCCGGGGAGGAGGTGGGGGAGGAGAAGAAGGATGTTATTATCGAGGTTCTCGGAGATATTGGCAGGTTACATCAAATATATTCAATTCACATTTAGGTTTAAAAATTCCAATAAACATCCTATTTATAAAATGGCTTTTCAGAATCACAACGGTACCTTAGAACTAAAGGCTTATCTGCAGTTTTGACTTTTGGACACTGATTTTCATTGTTGGTTTATACTTCACCTAAAATACATCGATTTTCTGAAAAAATTAATTCTAAACTTAAAAAGGTTTAGTTTAAAGTGAGATTTAATTTGAAGAAACAGCATAGTTATTAGCTAATATATTTCATTGCGCTATTAAACAAATTATTCTAAATTTTTGAAAAAAAACGTCTTTTTTACATAAGTAAGCTTTTCAAAAGTACATGTACTGACGACGGTCGAATTTACAATTTTATGCACATTGTACAATTAACACCTGTTTGCTGCGTACGTACATAAATGTAACTTTGAGTTGACACTTTGCCAAAAAATGGTAAAACTGGAACTAGATAAATCCACCTATATATATATATAGTTTAAAGAATGGGCAGCGCTTTTTAAAATGATTTCTTAAGAACAATTGTTCTCTAGTTTTGAATTAGGTTTGACAATTTTTTTGTGGGAGTTAAAGTTGTTTTTAACTTTAAAAGAACGTTTTTATATTGGTAATACCACGTTTTGCTTTAAAAATTTTTTTTGGAATTTCTGAATTTTATATTCTATCCAATTTTTTTATATCTTGAATGTCATGGAAATTTAATTTTTTTTTCAAAAGTATTAAGTTGTCTATCTCTGTAGCTAGTATACCTGTGTAATCTGCGAGACAGAAAACGTCACCTCACGTCACGCCGTGCTTTCTCATTTTAAATCTCATTCTAGACATTCGCAATTCATGTTGGCACATTTAAACACTGCATTTCTTAACTTAAAGCAAATATCATAAGAATCTTGTTAACCTGAGCATACCTAGATATATTAAATATGAGCTAAGTAATATGATTAAAACATGCATTGGGATTAAATCAACTACAATTATATATATCCTTGTTAATCCTTTAAATACGTACATTCAACTTAAACTATGCTGCATACATGTGAGGGGATAGCTTAACTACGTAATATCTATCCATGTTAATAATTTTAATACGTACATTCCACGTAAACTATGCTACAAACATGTGTGGAGATAGCTTAACTACGTTATATTTAACCATGTTAATCCTTTAAATACGTACATTCAACTTAAACTACACTGTAAACATGCATTGAGACTACGGGAATAGGGAATAGGGAGGGGGGGGGGTAGAAGGAATGAGAGAATGGGATTAAGAAGGGGGCAGGGCCTGTGGAGAACTTTTTAATGATTTATTTGTACGCCACTTTACAAAATAACAGTTTAAAATGAGTTTAAAGTTTCAATTATTGCCCTCCCCCGGGTATCCCGACTCCTTTATTTTTAAACCTCAGCTCTACCTTGTACAGCTTGAACCATACAAAAATCAAATTTCTTTTTAACCTTTCTTTCCTTCATTTTCTAACTTTATTTCTGAAGAATTAATGCATAACAAATATTACATCATGAATGTTGAATTGTTTTGTGAATCCTCATTTGATTTTCACTTAAAAGGATTATTCAAGAATAGATATGATACCATTTCTTTTAAAGGGAGTGTTCTCTAAAAATAAAAGAGAGTGCAGATGAAACTCGTATCGCATTTGGTTTTAATAGCTACGCATTATATACAGGGTTACACAAAAAGGATGAGACTGAAAGGACGACCCGAAAATTTGAAGCTTGATTTTATTTTTTTTTTGCATTCAATTTGGTATTTTGATTGTGTACGTTTAAGCACAGAAATACGCCAGTTTTGGCCTGCAAGGAACCCTGACTGCAAGAAAACGGACTAAACAATCGTCTCTTACTTGTCTCAGTCTTATACTTTGCGGGCAACCCTGTACTTCTATCATAGCGTCTATTATAGTGCCAATGGTTGATAAGGCTTAATTTTATATTCCCGTTCATTTTCAATATTCGCAAACACTCCCTTTAATAGAGGATCAAAACTATGTCTATCTTACCGCTAAGAGATGTCTCTGAGAGCAAAAATGAAGACATTTCTTAATTCAATGTTCATTTAAAACCGGTTATTGAGTGCATTTAAAACCGGATGTTGAGTGCATTTAAAACCGGTTATTGAGTGCATTCCGGAAATTTTCGATACTTTCCGTTTCCATGAACAAACAAATAGTAAATTACTTACTGGCATACTGGTAATTATCTATATACATTAAATATATTTAAAGGGACCGTTCACTTATTTGGGTAATTTCAGGGTAAACTAAACAGCCTATTCGCTGTTGATTACTAATAGTCTTACTTTTCAAAGACAACTGTGGCCGGAGAAAAAGCCGATTTTTCGTTCAGAATTCGAGCGCAAAGGGACGGTCCCTCTCTATAGACACTAATTGATGTTTTTTTCAGTATGTTGTGAATAAAAATAAATTTCGAATATAAAATTAAACTGTTGTATCTAATCGTTAATTGTAAATGTCATTATTTTTTAATTTTTGTTGTTTTTTAACTTTCTATTTCTAAAATAACACTATTTTATCGCATTCAAAATTGTGTATTGCCTGTGTAAAAAGCTGAATTGAACGCGGCATGACAAATGAAAAGTTGTGCACATGCGGGAAAAAATTTACAAAATCTACGAACCTATATACGAGTAATGATTAATTGATTGTCGTAGAGATGTCGTCTTTGTATACACATTTTATATGTTTTAATGCGAAAAATGTAAATTTCTTGCTAACTCAAATAATAAAAGTTTTCATATTTTAGTACATAATAACGAACACATAATGACATTCAAATATAATAAATTTAAATGTTATTGGGCTTCTGTTACTGAAAAAAAACATCTAATAGCGTCTATAGATAGGGACCGTCCCTTTCCGCTCAAATTCTGAACGAAAAATCGGCTTTTTCTCCGGCCACAGTTGTCTTTGAAAAGTAAGACTATTACCAATCAACAGCGAATAGGCTGTTTAGTTTACCCTGAAATTACCCAAATAAGTGAACGGTCCCTTTAATACTTTTATTTTTAATTCTGTGTGTCTGTTTGTATCCATGCAATAAACGTAAAAACGACTGAACTGATTGACCCCAGGATAGATTTGATAAATGTGACAGTTTCTAAAATTTCGATTTTTCAAAATCCACAAGGAAAAAAGGAAAATCCGCGAATATTTTTTATTCTTGTTTTATAACAAGAAAATGGAGAAATGTAGTTTATTTTTCTGGATCTCCCAGTAATGTATTTTTTCTGTATCTCATTGTAGTGTATATTTTATGAATCCCCCTTTAGTTTATATTTTCTGGATCTCCCTGTAGTTTATATTTTCTGTATCTCCCTGTAGTTTATATTTTCTGTATCTTCATGTAGTGTATTTTCTCTTGGTCTCCCTGTAGTATTTTTTCTGAATCTCCCTGTAATATTTTTTCTGAATCTCCCTGTAGTATTTTTTCTTAATCTCCCTGTAGTATTTTTTCTGGATCTCCCTGTAGTATTTTTGTCCTGAATCTCCCTGTAGTATTTTTGTCCTGAATCTCCCTGTAGTATTTTATTCTGAATCTCCCTGTAGTGTGTTTGTTCTGAATCACCCTGTAGTATGTTTGTTCTGAATCTCCCTGTAGTATGTTTGTTCTGAATCTCCCTGTAGTATGTTTGTTCTGAATCTCCCTGTAGTATTTTTGTTTTGGATTCTCCTGTAGTGTATTTTACTTGTGTCCCCCTGTAGGTAGTGTATTTTCCTGTATCCCCCTGTAGGTAGTGTGTTTTCCTGTATCCCCCTGTAGGTAGTGTATTTTCCTGTATCCCCCTGTAGGTAGTGTATTTTCCTGTATCCCCCTGTAGGTAGTGTATTTGCGTAAATCAGCTTGAAATGCAGCTCACGTGCTGAAAGGACAGAAAGGTGTTAAGCTTGACAAAAAATTATTTTTGATGTTCAAGCATATTTCAATATTTCTAGATTTAACCTGCTCGTTTTAATATCTGGCCTTGGACTAGAAATACGGGGGGGGGATAACTTCTAAGGTTTAAAGGGAAAGTAGAAGATAAAATAGATTTTGCTTTTTTAAATATTTTAAAAAAATTTCTTACGCTTTATGATAAATTCAGCCAACAAAAATATTTTAAAAATCATTAATATTTTTTTTATTTCACAAAAACATAATTATTTTAAATGTTATTTTGGTTAAGCGTTGGGCAAAAAATTTACATTTTTACACCAGTAGCATAAAAATCATAGATTTTTCTTGAAAATCTTTTCAATCAGTAAACTATCCTGAAACGAATCATCTGTCCAGTTAGTTCAGGCCAATATTGTGACGTGGTAAAGCATTATTTTTCTACCTGATGACAAAGTATTTCTTGTCAATAATGTCAAGCTTGACTCAAAATATTCAAATAATTAGTTGTTCCTGTCATTTTTTGTTTTTGTCGGTCTGACTCCGACCCCCCCCCCTCGGTCCGAAAACATCCAGGGTGACCTGGCGAAAAAAAACCTTGAAAATTTCAATTGGCATTTTTTCAGAAACATTTTAATAACAGTGAAATAAACCTTGAAAATGATCAATATTGGAAAGCTCTGAAATAAATTTAAATATTTTAAAACTTAATTAGGAAGTTTCAAATTCTTAGTATGTCCTCCCTAATCCTGATGGATACATGTTTAGGAATATGGGGGGATGGGGGGCTTTAGGAGGATGGGGATGGGGGGGGGCTTTAAGATCAAACATCATTGATTGATAGATCGAGGGGCATGGAACCATTTTTAAAAACATCTTAGAAACAACATGGTTAAATATTTTTTCAAAATGTCTTATTACTAAAGAAAGTAAATAATTTTAGAAATTGCAAATAGTAAAAATATCTTAAAAATCAACTGAAATTAAGGCATTTTCTCAAAATATCGACCTGGTTGATGAAATTTCTCAAATTATCAATCTTTTAATATCTATCAAAATTACAAATGTCTCAGAATATCAACCAAATTGGCAAATTAGTCTATATGTATCTATATATATTAACCGAATTGTAAAATGTTTCAAATTATCAACCGAATCATGCAATGAAATGTCTCAAAATATCAACTGAATTGATAATATATTTAAAAACATCAACTAAATTAAAAAAATCTTAGATTATCAATTCTAATTTAGTAGATATCTTAAAATCGACATAATTTTTAATTTTCTTAAAATTATCAACCGAATGAATGAAGTAAAGATAAAAAGTTTTGATCTGAAACCCTTGAATGAGACTGCATAGTGCATAATCATACATAATTAATTCTTCTTACTCCCATCCTAATCCTGTCAAAAATATATAATTCAGTAAAACCAGTTTACTTGGGATTTATCCATTAAATATTGAAATTATCATTAATTTGTTGGGTTTTGGTATAATTTTTCTTTTTAAAGACAAAATCTTTCTTTTCCCCGGAACTGTACAATTTTCAAGTAAACTATAAACTGATCAATAACGTGAAAATATTGTTTTCCTCCTGATAATTTCTTCCATTGTTTCTGTAGCAGATATCCGCATGTCACTTTTGTAGTTCACTTGAAACTACATGAACAGTCTCGTTCAATAGATCTTTACTTTATCTCCGGGCTTAAGGTTTTATTACTTGTTTATCAGGACTCCAGGTTTAGGTTTTCTTGGACTCCCTTTCTAGTTCTTGTTTATCAGGACTCCACGTTTAGGTTTTCTTGGACTCCCTTTTTAGTTCTTGTTTATCAGGACTCCAGGTTTAGGTCTTCTGGGACTCCCTTTCTATTTCTTGTTTATCAGGACTCCGGGTTTAAGGTTTACTGGCACTCCAGTTTTAAGGTTTACTGAGACTCCAGGTTTAAAGTTTACTGAGGCTACAGGTTTAAAGTGAGTGACCGGCTATGTAAGGTAGTTGAACTGAGTATGCAGTGTTGTGGAAAACTTCTTTCGGGTTCATTTGAGACATATTAAACTTTTAAAAGATCTGTAAATCCTGAATTTGAGCGAAAATTCGACGTTCAAAACTCCTACTTTGGGGTGGATACGTTTTCAGAATAATTTTTTTTAAAATTATTAAATAATGACGACATAAAATGTAAAAAAAAGTTCTACAATAAACTACAGACGTCATGTATAGGAACATATTGAGAAAATAAAAATTAATCTTACCATCGAAAGTAAGTAATCTTGTTCAATTATTAGTTTCTATTATCTCATTATTCTGGTTTCTCATTATTCACAAAGATTTTCGCAGATTTTCTAGAATTATTATTGAAAAGACGACATTTGAAGAATTTGAAGAAATCTGCGAATAAATTTAAAGAAGATAAGAAATTCAATATAATAATGAAAACGAGATAATCGATTTTAGCATTGATTTATTGGCAAATTTCTTTTGAGAAATATGTTCCTTACCATCTAATTAGATTACTGTATAATGTTTACTTTATTTTTCGTTGTCGTTATTTAATAATTAAAAAAAACTAATTCTGAAAACGTATCCACCCCCCAAAGTAGGAGTTTTGAACGTCGAATTTGCGCTCAAACTCAGGATTTACAAATCTTTCAAAAGTTTAATATGTCTCAAATGAACCCGAAAGAAGTTTTCCACAACACTGCATACTCAGTTAAACTACCTTACGTAGCCGGTCACTCACTTTAAGGTTTAATCAGATTCTACAGGTTTAAGGTTTACTGATACTCTGCAGACAGGTTTAAGATTTATTGAGACTACAGGTTTAAGGTTTACTGGGACTCCAGATTTAAGGTTTATTGAGACATTAGGTTTACTAGGTTAACTGAGACTACAGGTTCAGTTTTATTGAGACTACAGGTTTAAGGTTCACTGAGACTGCAGGTTAAGGTTTGCTGAGACTACAGCTTTAAGGTTTACTGAGACTACAGGTTTAATTTTATTGAGACTACAGGTTTAAGGTTTACTGAGACTACAGGTTTTAGGTTTACTGAGATTACAGGTTTAAGGTTTACTGAGACTACAGGTTTAAGGCTTACTGAGACTACAGGTTTAAGGTTTATTGAGACTACAGGTTTAAGGCTTTCTGAGACATCAGAGCTGGGAACTTTAGAATGGTGGATATCAGGATTAATGCTTAATCCTCTCTTTTTGCTAATCTCAAGACTAACATAATCTTGAGATTATGTTAGTCTCGAGCTTAGATATATATTTAGATCAACAAATTTTTATTCTAGGAACCCCTTATTTGTTCATTTTTTTGACTGGAAGGGCCTTCACTTAATTTCTCACCTATTTATTTATTAATACATTAGTTAAAATTGGTTAAAAAAGAATCTCAAACGTATTATTAAATAATTTTCTTCACCGATTAATTTACAAAATGGGATTTCTCTCATGGGATAGAATTTATTTTCAAGGCTACCATTGGTCAATACAATTTGCGAACTATATTCCTGAACTCTCATTGGAGAAAACAATGCACGGATATCCAAAGAGAGAGAAAAAGAGTAGATTCAGGACTAAAATTAAAAGTTTCCACAGTGGATATTAGGATTAAGAAGTTGGGATTAATGGTTATCCATTCTAAAGTTCCCAGCTCAGGTTTAAGGTTTACTGAGACTTCAGGTTTACAGTTTACTGAAACTCCAGGTTTAAGGTTTATTGAGACTACAGGTTTAAGGTTTACTGAGACTACAGGTTGAAGGTTAACTGATACTTCACAGGTTTAAGGTTTACTGAGACATCAGATTTAAGGTTTACTGAGACTTTATAGGTTTAAGGTTTACTGAGACATCAGGTTTAAGGTTTACTGAGACTCTACAGTTTTAAGGTTTGCTGAGACTACAGGTTTAAGGTTTATCAAGACTCTGCAGGTTTAAGGTTTATTGAGGTTTACTGAGACTCTACAGGTTTAAGGTTTACTGAGACATCAGGTTTAAGGTTTACTGAGACTCTAGAGGTTTAAGGTTTGCTGAGACCACAAGTTTATTTCTTGTTTATTAGAACTCCAGGTTTAAGGTTAACTGAGACTACAGGTTTAAGGTTAACTGAGACTCCAGGTTTAAGGTTAATTAAGACTACAGGTTTACAAGGCCACTTCAGGATTCTCTAGATTAGATACTTTTATTTTTAGTCCTTGTTTATCAGAACAACAGGCTTAAAAGTAAAAAATTTGCATTTTTGATTCCCAATGGTACCCTTAACACATTTATCTGAGCATAAAAATGGAAGATATCTTGTTTTAACTTAAAACTGCTGGAAAACTAGAAAAACTAGGAAATTTCTATTATATTTGTGACATGCTAGTTTTAGTGCTTTCATGGTGCAGAGGGACTCACTGCCTTGTCTTTTTATTCTCTTGAAGAACTTATAAACTCTAATACAAGTTTCAAGGTAGAAATCAGAGAAAACTTTCGATTGATTTTTGCAAGCATTTGATAACTATTCGAATACGATTATTAAAGATAAAGATCAATAGATAGATGAATAGAAGGGTGGATAGACAGATAGATAGATCAAAAGAAGGATCAATAGAAGAATCAGTAATAGAAGAAACAATAGAAGGATCAATAGAAGGATCAATAGAAGGATCAATAGAAGGATCAATAGAAGGATCAATAGAAGGATCAATAGAAGGATCAATAGAAGGATCAGTAGAAGGATCAGTAGAAGGATTAGTAGAAGGATCAGTAGAAGGATCAGTAGAAGGATTAGTAGAAGGATCAATAGAAGGCTCAATAGAAGGTTCAATAGAAGGATCAATGGAAGGATCAATATAAGGATCAATATAAGGATCAGTAGAAGGATCAGTGGAAGGATCAATGGAAGGATCAATGGAAGGATCAATGGAAGGATCAATGGAAGGATCAATGGAAGGCTCAATAGAAGGATCAATAGAAGGATCAATAGAAGGATCAATAGAAGGATCAATAGAAAGATCAATAGAAGGATCAATAGACAGATCAATAGAATGAAGAAAGGAAGGGGGAAAAGAAAATTAAACATTACAACATCAAAACATTAAAGATATTCCACATATGTCTTGAATTATATTAGTTTTATTGTTCTCATATTTTTTCACAAAATGTTCAGAAAAAGATAAAGTTTTAGGACTTTTTCTTCTTAATTCCTGTTTCTTGTTAACTGAAACTTTAAGATTGGTTTTGTTTATTTGTTTGTTTGTGTGTTTGTTTCCAACAAACGTCAAAAAGGCTTTACACGAATTTAGATTTTTTTAAATCATGGAAATCCATCGATGAAAAAAAAGAAATCCGCAAAAAAATGTTGGAGTTATTATTAAAATTGTAAGGTATGCATAATACACATAGGTTATAGCAGAAAGAATTTTGGTTGAAAAGTTGGGGCACAATGTCACACCAAACTTATCGAGCATACATCAATGAAAATTTGAATTACGACATACATCTCAAGTTCTTGTTGAGTCTCTAAAAGATCCTAAAACCTTGAATGTTTTAAAATTGAAAACGATGCCAATTCCTAGGTACCAGCTGCTGGTTGGATTACTGTTTGCTCTGCTTGAGATACCACATGGCTGGTGTATGCTTTTGCATAAATTCATCTCACCGAAGGTAACCAAAGTTTTCATCCATGTTAAAGGGACAGTCGAGCCAAGAGTATAACTAAACCGATTCACCAAGGTACCCTTTTAACCTTTATGTGAGCAACAGTGAGGGAGTGGCAGCAATTAAAAAATTGTCAAGATTGGAATTCCTCAAATACCTGGGAATTTGTGGAATTCACCAAATGCCTGGAAATCTGGGGAGTTCCCCAAAAGCTTGGGAATCTAGAAAATTCTCTGTTAATTTGGGAAATTTCCCGGTTCCCGATAGTTGAAAAATAAAACACCCTCAGATTCTTTAAGGAATCTGGAAATATCTTGGAATCTGGAGAATTCCTCAAATACCTGGGAATCTGTGGAATTCCCAAATGCCTGGGAATCTGTGGAATATCCAGTCATTTGATAAATTTCCAAAATCTTAAAAATATACCACCCTCAAATTCCTTAAGAAATTTCGGAATCTGAGAAATTTTCCAAAAACCTGGGAATCTGAGAAATTCCCCAAATTCCTATTTTCTTCAAAAGTATTATTGCTATCGGGTATTGGCAACGATGAGGAAAAAATAGATTTTGCAATTTTTCGTGTTGACCTTTAAACAGAAAATAAAATAAAATGTCAAACAGTGAAACCACAATTGAAACTCATCAATTTTCAGATGGATAACCATGGATATGTCCCATCATTTCGTGAACGAACGATGCAATCTTATGTTTTCCGGAACTCCTTCAGTTTAAAGATTAAACGTGATTGAATTAAAAAAGAAGAAACCAATTTCGTCTAGGATTTCCAACGAAAGGAAACTTCCGCGAAAAATGCGAAAATTTTCGTTCGCATTGCGCAAACTTTTTCGCGAGATAACGCATTTTTTCGTGAAAATGAATTAAGCGAAAAAATGCAAAAACTATGCGAAATTTCGCACAAATAATTTTCGCACAAACTGATTGTTCTTGCGAAACCCATAGCTGCAACAATTACTTGCGCAAAAAACTTGTGGAATTCACTGCTCTGAGAACTCGGCATTATACCATAATCAATCATTTCTCTTCCGTATTTTTTTGCAGAATTTTCGCATTTTTTCCAAAAAATTTTCACATTTGTTTTTTTTTCGCGAAATTTTCGTATTTCATATTTCGTGTAAATTTGGCCTTTTTTCGCGAAACAGATTAAAGCGAAATTTCGCGAAAAAAATATTTTCTCATTTTTGCGAGCAAACGAAATGCGAAAAATGCGAAATTTTCGCTGAAAACCCCTAATCTCGTCCTAGTAAGTCCACGGTGAAACATCTATATATATATACTTTGCTTGTCTGTCTGTCTGTCCGTTTGTTCCCAATAAACGTGAAAACGACTGAACCCTATAAGGCCCACATTTTGTGTGGGACCTCACATGACCCTGAAGAAGATTTATGAATGCTCAATAATACAAAAGTTTTAAATTTTTGTCAAATTTTGAAAATGCGCGAAAAAATATAATAAAATCCACGAACTTTTTTATTTTTGTTTTATATTGTACTAAGAGAAGATGTTCACAGATAGAGCCACAGTTAAAAGTTAAAATAGAAGATGGGCACAAAGCGCCCTAATAGCCTAGTTTAGATATACTTTATTACTAGCTGTAGCCTGGGCAACTTGGAGATGAAAAAAAGGCTGGAAAAGTTTTAGCAAACTTTTTTGTTTCAAGGATTTAGAAATATTCAAGTTTATTTTCTAATTTAATGCAATTATAATGTTTTTGTAGATGAAATAAAAGCTGAGAGCTAACTTTCAAAAAGTTTTAATGAAACAAATTCGTTGCATGTTCTCTAAGTTTGTTATTGCACTGCATTAAGGATGCATAGCATGGGAAGGGGGTGGGAGAGAAAAATGTTGGGAACTTCGGAAGGAAGCAAAAAGGGAGGTTAACGGAGATGCACGTCTAACAGTGCATTTTGATTTTTCCGAGGAAAATAACAATGTGTCCTCAGAGTGAAAAAAATCCATTCTCTATGAGTAACAACGTGTTATAATAAACATGGAAAATAAGAGACGACTTAAATATCGTCTTTGAGTTCCAAGAAATAGAAAAAAATGATTTAAAGTCTTTTGAGCTTTCCAAAATGTAAATACCACGTACAATATACTAAACATTTGAACAATTCTGCCTTTTTTAATAAATTGGAATCTGGACAACTTTCTCAAAATCTCCGGCAATTTTAAAAGTTTAAAAATGGTTGACCACATCTTGGAAATCCCAAGGCTTTTAAATGTTGAATGATTTAACCCGGATAATACCAGAATTGTAATAATACCTGGTGGGACAAAGACGATAATAAAGTCGACATTTAATTCCCATGTATTTAGTCCTCATATAAACCATGCATGTATTTTGGTTCTTGATAATATAATACGGCTTTTTGCTCATATATATACTATAGGTGAAGGGTGTTTTCCCGTGGAAAACAAAATAACAAAAAATTTGGAAAAAAAAATTTTGAAAAATTATTTCGAATTTTTTTAGCCTATAACCCATGAGTGTCCGCAAAAAAATCATCCCAATCGGTCCAGCCGTTTGGCCGGCTATGCACAATATATACATATACAAATGTCTTGTTTTATTATATTGATATATATGTAAGCTATATAGCTGTCCAAACGGTTGGACCAAATTGACAAACATTTGTCGAGGAAACCCTTGGGGACCCATGGGAGTTAAATAGGCCATAAATTGCAATTTTTTTTGAAATCCCACGGACTCTGCTAATTTTTTTACTATTCTGAAAAACACTCCAAAATCATGAGCTGTAGTCTACTTGAATTAACATTATTATGCTCAGAAAGTAAAAAGCTTGGTTCAGGTGAACGGTGGTTATAATTGGGGAAAAAGTAACAAAAACTACACTTTTTCTTAAAAACGAAGATGCAAGAACATTGACAAGCTATAGCCTATAAACAATGTACTCTGTTATAGACAAATAAAAAGTTGACGAACAAGAAATACAGAGAATTGTTCTCAAATTACATTCTTCAAGGTCCTGTATTTTACTCTTCATTTTTCAATCTGTTGCACAGCCATAGGGGCTTGTTTTGTCTCCCGAGTTTTCTTCGACCTTCATAATACCTTTTTGAGAGAAAAGTTTTGATAAAAGTGAATTTTTTCCGCTACTAAATTTTTTTATGGAAATTTCCCTAAGGGTTGGCATTGCTTTAAGATTTAAAAAAAAGAGTCTGAATAATTATTTTCAGAAATCTTTAACCAAAAACTGTCTACTCATTTCTATTGAAGATTAAAAATTTGGCATATATTTATCCGATAAACATGTTTTTTTTTTGCAACAAAAACTTAATTTTTGCAACCAGGATAAATATTGATATTATTCAGATTTAAAAGGTTTTGGATTCCCTAGATTAAAGTTTTCACAAAATCAATAAGAGGAAAATCAGGACAAAACAAAGTTTGGTTCTTTACCTAAGCTAATCACCCAATCATCAGAAAAAGGTAAAAAAAATGAAGAAAAAAATCAAGATGATTTGCTTTTCACTAAAAAAGCAGCTGAAATTTACCGTTCAATAAAAATACTATTTTTGACTATTTTTTATAAAATCTTTCCATCTCTTAAAATCATAACACAAGAATTGAATTTTTCTCACCAGAAATTCCGATAAAAGATCATTTTTACTCCTGAAAGAGGTGAAGAGTGTTTATGATGATAATGCCCATGAAAAATGTTCTAATGTGTAGTTATAGTTACATTGCAAAAGGAGCGGAAACATTGTCAATATCACATAAATCTCACTAGAAGGGGATAATTTATTTGGTGTACCGCCCCGTTTTGCCTTATAATCTTTACATTATACAATACAACCTGCTCTAACGATCCTAGTTTTAAATAAAATGGAGTTTACACTCAGTGCTATTATGAATCAGGGCGAAATGAATCATCATGCAGAATACAACCTTCATATATTATATTCAAACCAGGCACGCCGCTAAGGGGGGGGGGCATGGGGGCCAGGGCCCACCCCCTAGCCTAATTAAGAGGGGCATGCCCCCCCCTTGAGAAAGCTTCCCCCTACGAGGGGGGGCAAGAAGTCCTTAACAAGGGTCTATGTAGTTCCAAAAATAGCTAATTTTTTCGAAAATTAAAAAAAAATATTTATTTAGTAATTCATTTTAAAACCTACACTCTGTAAGCAAACTCAAATTCAAGTATTAAATTTTTCAATAAAGCTTAGATTCTTTTAATTTCCCCCTTTCTTTAAAAAATGCGTTCAAACTTGGATTTTTAAAATAACTCTCACACACATTCTTATTCAAATTGTCCATCCAGACTTGAATTTGCCCCTTTTTTCAACATTTGTAACCCTTGTTTTTTTTTAGAATGCCACCAAATATTTTTACTTTGCACCTAATTTTAATTTTTATCCCCAAAAGTTTTATAAATACAACAAACTTTCAAATTTACAGCCCTATCTAAAAAATGCCCCTTATTTTAGTTGGATAATGCTCAAAAAATTAAGAAGTTTTGCCTTAAACAACAAAAAGTAACCCTTGGCTAAAGAAAAGGGCCCCATTATATATTTAAAAAATGCCCTTAAGTAAAAAAAATGGACCCCAAAATAAAGATTTAAGATTTCCTATACACAAAATTGACCAAACTATAAAAGCCCCCAAAAATAAAATTTTCCTTAACAATAAAAATTTGCCCCTGAAATATAGTTTAATATTTTTCCCACATAATTTTGCCCGAAAATGAATGAATGCCCCCAAATATAAAAATTTTTACAAAAATATCCTGAATTGGTATGGTAGTTTTTTCATGGTTGAGAAAAATACACATTTTTCTTACNATACATACGAAATAATTACCCTTTGCGCCCCCCCCCCTGATTCAAACTAAATATATACTTGCTAATTTGCTAATCCTTTATAGTCGTAGAAGAACAAGGTGAATATGGCGAAAATCACTTTCTAAATGTCGTAGTTTCAATGAAATGTGAATTATACTTTATCAATTGGGCAGAATTAATCCCAGTACAGCTCGATAGAGTCGGACCGGTACAAAGGATTTGAGTCTTTGCCACAAACTCTGATTTTCTAATCCCTATATCTTTTTAATACAATGTCATAGACTTTAGATATTTCAAACTATGAATTATGTTAAATCAAATAATCTATGTTTGAAATATCAAAGGGTTACACCTTCCGGTCGCAGAGATAAAGGGATTAGAAAATTTGAGTTTGTGGCTAAAACTCAGTTCCTTTAGAAGAATTTTGAGATGGCAGTGAAAATACTGTTATGAATATAGGTTGAGTATTGGTGCAGTATGCCCTCCGAACTGGATTACCCCCTGGAGGAGTGGAAGAATATTAGTAGTCCTGCTGCAGACTCATGCTCTATATACTCGAGGTACCATTTTGTAGTTCTTTTTACTGCCACTAGAGGTCTCACATCCTCATGGGATGGTTCTTACTTATTAGGGAATGTACGCTTTTCCTTATTGTTGAATATTACTTTCTTTATAAGGGAATTCTAAATCCCTTATTACTAGAAAATATTAACCCTTTCTAAGTGCATTTTAACTGCCTTATTTGTTAATATCATCGCTCCTGAAATATTAACTTCCATATTATGGAATTCGTTCTTATTAGTTAAAGGGAGTGTTCGCGAAAAATGAAAGGGGGTATAGGCTAATGGCGAAAAATAATCGATGGTGATCCCTACTAATCTTACTTCTATCTGTTGCGTCTTTAAGGAGAAAATTGTTAAAAACGACTTATACCGAAGAACGTAGGTCCATACACTCCCTTTAATATCAACTTCCTTATTAGGTAATATCAATTCATGTTATGAAAATTATTTTCTAATTGAAGAATATATATGTTTCCTTTTTGGGTAAAATTAACTTCCTTATTAGGAAAAATAAATCTCCATATTAGGACTTGTATAGTTTTTTTCTCAGGAAATATATAACTTATTAATTAGGAAATATTAACTTTCTCATTATGATATTATAAATTCATAACTAGAAAATATGTAATATTTTTCAAGTTCAAGTTTTTTTTCATATTCCTCAGGTAGTAGTTGAACCAGTCGTTCCCGTAGTTCAACTGATTTTATTCTTATTATTTTTAATCTCAGGTTCCTCAATGATACGTCTGGTAACTACACAAGCTGTCCTCAATTTGAATATGATGAATCAATGTTCCAAGAGACAATTGTCCAGGTATAATACAGGGTATCCCATGAAACATGACAGTTGGTAAATAGTTTAGAATGTCTTCTTCTATAATTTGTTAATTTGGTTAATATCAAAGACAGGAATAAAAATATTATTTAGGAGTGATATTGTAGTAAAATTAATTTCAAAGTAAAATATACTTGAGCGAAACTTTTTTAACAAAATAAACTGCAAACAGCCTTTAATTTCTAATACATTGTATGGAAGAAGACATTCCAAACTATTTACCAACTGCCATGTTTCGTGGGACACCCTGTAGTTCTCACTTTGTTAAAAATCAAGATAATAATATGTTGTGGAAATAGGATCTCTAAAAAAACAATGATGACAGACCCATAGTTCTAAACCGATTCTTATTTCGAGACTTAAAACTTCGCAACAGAAATTTCCGATCTAATAGAGAAAAGAAACCTTTTAGCGGGGTTTTATTTATTTATTATTGAACAAGTTCTGAAGTCCTTCAGTGCGTTTTTATAGTTTTTCCTAAATAATGCCGGAGCATCAATTCTAATTTAAACTTTTCTTTCTTTGGACATTAATATTATCATCTACTTCTATCTATCCTTTTGAAAACCTTTCATCATATTTGTACATCTTACATATGTTTCCACAATTAGGCATAATGCATTTCTCAAACCTTGTATTAGAAAAAATGAACTGTTTAATCTATGATATTCTGATTTCTAATATAGTGATATGCGGGGGTAGCTTGAGATGGTAGAATATATAAGTATATAAAGACTTCATTTAAAGTTGATATTTAGAATGAGGTACTGACTGATATAAGTATATAAAGACTTCTTAATCTTAAACCATTAATCTGATGTTTTCTCTATATAAATCGATGGTATGCAAATGAAGCATGATATAAAAAGTTTATAGTGTCGTAACTTTTAAGTAAAATCCAAACTATTGGGATCCCAAACGATTATCAACTAATGTTCAAGATATTGGGATTAGACTTGGTTTGGGAATAAGGTATATGAATGAAAAGAACCAATTGGGAGTATAGGTAAAAAGGTTGGGAATTGGAAAGGATATCAACTAAAGAGGAAGTTGGGATTGGGATGGAAATCAGGTGTAGAGAAATTTGGGATTGGAAGATTTGGTATTAGGAATCAATGAGAGCTAGGATGAAAATGAGGGTTGTTTATTATATTGGTAGTTAGAGTGATTGGAAAGATTGGGCAAAGGAATAGATGTTTTTTGAGAAACACTGTATTGAAAGAGAATAAGCAATATTTTGAAGTTTAGTATAAAGATAACGATAGGATAAAATACTTGTGTGTAAAACTATAAGAGAATAAGTGATTTAGTGGATAAAAATGTTAAATAGGAATGAAGACGACATTTTGGAAAGGATGAACGTATTATTGTCAAGTTAGAATAAGAGAGAGAAAAGGTTACATTATTTGATCTAATAGAATTCACAGTTTGATAAGTATCACTATCATCTAGTTAAAGATATTCCTTTTTGTGTAGTTTTGTTAATCATTAATGGCACTCTGATTAACAAATTAAGAGGATTTTAAAATTTGTATGAACATTGTTAAAACAGTTCATTTAATGTTATTGTTTTAGCTGGATTACTGGCAGACAAATTCGGAAGGAGAGAAAAAAAATAAAGGAAAACGTTTTAAATAAGATTTTCTAAATTAAAATGATTATTTACAACATTGGTATTTCTATTTTTATTTCTATTACTTTTTTTACATTGCAAATTAATAGAACTGCGGAATAGGACGACGATTCTAAGAATAAAGTTTTGATTTAAATGTAAACATAACTTTTCTTGTGACTCTCCATTGATAGAGTGGCATGTCCAATTAAAAATGGTACCCCTTAACAGTTTTGTCTGATTAAGTATGAATTAGATATCCATGTTTTTGTTCCAATTCAAACTGTTATTTTCATTTGCGGGTTCTTTGAGAAGGTGGCTTGCGCATTTTAATTAATTATAAAAATAAAGAATGAGGAAATTGACATAATTAAACACTTATCCAATTTTTTCTAAACCATGTTAAACAATTCATACAGGAATTATATTAGGTTGCTTAAATTTTGCCTTCCTATTCCACAGTGTTCTGGTTCCCACTCTAAAAAAACCAAGAGTGAAAGAAAATGTTATTCAATAAAATTCCATTTTGGTTTCTCCGAAGGCGGAAGGTTTTGGTGAGCTTTGTAGCTTTGTTCTGTATAAGTGGTCTCATTTGTACATTTTCACCGTCGTTCGAGCTCTGGCTGGCAGCAAGGTAATTTATTGAATAAGGCATGCACAAATAAAATAATAGCTTTTTATTTGTCATAATCTTATTTACTGTCATATTGATTCTAATAATTTAAGTCTTCGTTTTTTTTTATTTTCATTCCTGATAAATTTTGTTTTTTTCTTTTTAAACTTTTTTGTTTGAATATGTTCTGAATTGTGAAGTAAGAGTTTAATTTTAATTTTGTTTGTCACTAACATAACATCATGTCTTGATTGAGTTCATTCTGGCCCAGCCATATATATAATTATATCTAGTTTGCTTGGGTGTTTGTTTGTTTGTCTCCAATAAACAAAAACAGCTGAACCAATCAGGCCCAAAATTTTTTTGGGACCTCACATGATCCTGGACTGGATGTTAAGAATGCAAAAAAATCAAAAAATTACGATTTTTCGAAATCCACGACATTTTTTTGAAAATAGAAGTCATGCCAAAGATAGAATAAAGGTTGGGAGTGAAGCGACCTGGGATCCTAGTAGACTAGATCTAATGAATAGTGAGAAGTAGCTGAACTGAACCGCGTAGACGTAGTTCTTGCTGAATTAAAGCTTTCCTAGACAAACTCACATCTAGTTTCTTTCGCATTATGTCTATATTCAAATCAATCAATCAAATCAAATCATTTATTAGGCCACAAGTTTAAAACATTCATATTAATAAAAATGACTAAACAATTATATAAATGTATTTTGTGGCCGGGGAGCTACAAGATAGCTCAGGCTGTTTTTACACGAGCTCCCCTGGTTCAGGATAATAATGATTAGATTCAAACGTTGAGCATTAATGGAGCACATAAATTTTGCAAAATTAGCTAACTAGACACATAAGTTCGATGACTTTTACTTGTATTCTAATATAATTATTTTTCAGAGTTCTCTGGGGGGCTTCAACTATGGGGCTACGATCCATTAAGATCGTTACAAGCTTGGAGATGATCGGTAGTTCGTGGAGAGCGATCATTTGTGTAGGTATGCTTTACTCATTAATTCTGCATTTTAAAATAATGCATAAATGAGACAGGAACTGATTTCATATAAAATCATTTGCCATTTTCCATAGTTTATATCAATACAATAAAGACGACTTTTTAGTTTGATTTATAACAAACTGTGTTTTAAATTACAAATTTACCAGTAAAAAAAGAGAAGAGAAGCTTTTTAACCATCAGCTTCTATTTGTTTCCCTGTTTGTGTGTATGCTGTTTAAAAGCTTGGTCTGAATCAAAATTCAAATCGAAAGTCGTCTTCATAATATTGATATAAACGACGACGACTGTAGAGGAGACAATATTCAATTTATGAAAATAAAGACAAATTTTTTTTTAATTAAGGTTTGAACACTTCTGATTAGAAATTAAAAGAGTTTTGTGGGATGAAAATGTTAAGGAATAGAACATGTCGACCCATCCAAGAAATAATTGTTGTTTGGCTTCGGATTTTTTAACAAAAAAAAATACTTGAACGAGTTTTTATTTTTCTTTTTAAACCCATATTGGAAATTATATCATACAAATTGACGCAAATAAATAGACAACAAATCAAAATAAAGGAAATGGGTCTTCGCCCCAAACTCAAATTTTCTCATCCCTTTATCTTTGCAACCTGTAATTGTGTGATTTTTCAAACTTACATTATTTGATCTAATAGAATTCACATTTTGAAATATCTAATTTTATGGTAAAGGCTAAATTCCTTTAAAACATATTATTTAAAGGATTTATCGAGGGAGGCTGGACAGCTGGATATCTTACGCTTCCTCTAGGTAAATTTTTTCTTAAAGTTAAATATATTTATACAATGATCTTATTCTTTATTTTTATAATAACATAATTACTTAATGGGCCTGTACGCAAAGTTTCAAATATCTCTTCATAAAAAATTTTCAAATATCTCTTCATGCAAAGTTTCAAATATCTCTTCATGCAAAGTTTCAAATATCTCTTCATGCAAAGTTTCAAATATCTCTTCATGCAAAGGTTTAAATATCTCTTCACAACGGTTGCCTTTAAACCATTGACTGTTCATGGAGTATAAAAAAGTAAATCTCTCGAAACCCCTTGAATTCCTTTAAAATCTGGTGTACACTGCGTACAATGTGAACTTCATACAGCTGATCCCTTGTGTCCCTTAAAATTATCGAATATTTTACGCTGAAAGTGGGATTAAAAGTTTGAAAGAAAATGTTCATTTTCTGCTACTGTTAGAAAGTGAATATTAATATTTTTAAATATAAAACAGCCTGCAAAGAAAGAAGTGGTACTGTTGTGAACCAGACACAAATTGAGGGATACATGAGATTACGCATACAGTCCCTTAAAAAGTATTTTTTGGTAGTATCCTGGCTGATTCCCAATGGATTCTATCTTCAGCTAATTGTTGCGTTATCAATTCTTCCTGGTCTACCATTGATATACTGTTTACAGGAGTCACCTAGGTATATCGCTTTTAACTAGTATTTTTAGGATTTTTGATATTAGTGATGTGCATCGACGTTTTGCACTATTTTTCCGGGTCCGTTTATCTCATGGTTTAAGAAAAGCATTAACTGTTTATTATGAACATGTGCTTTCTACAGTATGCGAAATTTTGACCCTGCCTAAAAAAAAGGCAAAAAACGATCCGAAAACAACCAAAAAACGATCTGAAAACGATAAAAACGATCCGAAAAACGATCCGAAAAACGATCCGAAAACAACCGAAAAACGATCCGAAAACAACCGAAAAACGATCCGAAAACAACCTAAAAACGATACGTAAACGAAAACGTGTTATAAATATCGTTTGTTGATCGTTTAGGATTTATGAAAGCCTAACTTAACTTATAAAAGTTTTAAAATCTTGAAATTTTTACTAATTTTTTTTTTTTAATCCAAACGATTAACAGCACTAGGCACAAGTATATCTTAAGGTTTATAATTTCCAAAGAAAAAAATAATGTTGTTCTATTGTTTCCCATTTTTTGTCGCATAGGGAATGTCTAATGTTAAATCTGTTTTAGATGGCTGCTTGCTACTGGCAAGACCTTTGAATGTCAGCAATCACTGAAAAACATTTTAAAATTCAACAGAAAAGGAATGAATTTATCATTTTAAATTAGCTAAACTCCGAGCTAAATAAAAGAAACAAAAAATTGATTTAATTTCAGAAATATTCTTAAAAAATTTTCAATTGTAATCTTTGTAAATATGAGTGAAAAAGGTTGTAAAACCGATTAACAAAAACATGAATAACTTTTGTTCTATCCTCCCTGTAAGGTTCTAAAAATGTTGAATTTGTTAAGATACTGTTGTTCCCAACCTTGCTCCTAAACATATTGAGGAAAAGAGAGCAAAAGCAAACTTTTGGGATCTATTCAAGAAACCAATGATTAGGAAAAATATCATAAAAACATGGAAAGAAATTTTCCCATTTTTCCATTTTCATTGGTGGATTTGTACTGAAAAATGTACCTAATCAGTTTGAATTTTCTTTTTTATTATGATATTATTTTCAGGCGAAATACAATTGTTATTAGTTTAGCCTGGTTTTCACTAGGTTAGAATCTTGTTTATTAATCTTAAATCCTAAATTTTAGAAAAAATTGGGAAAGGATTGAAAATGAAATTGGGAATAAATTGTACCATAAATTTTCCAAAAGTTTTTGAGTTTTGTAAATTTCGTAAATGCGCAAAAGAATATTATGAAATCCGCGAATTTTTTTCATGTTGTACATAGAAGATGCTAAAAGATAAAGCTTCAATTAAAAGTTGAAATAGATGATTATTGGCGAGAACCGCACTAAAAGCCTAGTTTAAAAATTTTCACATTTTTACAAAAATCAAAAACTTTCGGAGACAACTTTTTGTAATTCTAAGCATCCATAATCCTTCTCTGGGGTCATGTGAGGTCCAACACAAAATTGGTTCAGCCGTTTTGACGTTTATTGGATACAAATTTAATTGTTTAGGTATGCTATATTTCGGCTTGTCCCTTCATATGCCTGAGTTTGATGCGAATATATACTTAATATTCTTCCTGGCCGGTCTAGTAGAGATACCAGCAGATATTCTTCCATTCATTCTTCTAAACAGGTAGATATATATATATATATATATATATATATATATATATTCTTCTCTTCATTCTTATAAACAGGTAGACTAGATATATATATATCTACCTAACAGGTAAATTTAAAGGGACTATTCAGTTAAAAAAAAAATAAACATAATTTCACGACTTTTGGGATTATGTAACACCAGTCAATTTTATTATTACTCGGAGTTCGACCCTGTGTTCCTAATTTAAGAATTATGATTTTTTTAAACAACCCTTTTCAACAACAAAGCATTCAGCAATCACGCCATGTTAAGCTATTTCCTAATTAAAATTTAAAGAGTCTGTAGACGTAATTTCAAGTGCTGCATTTATATCACATTTCAAATATTAGAGGTGCATGCCCGATTCACAATGGCACTATTTTAAACATTCTCTGAGCAACAACGAATTATCGTCGTTTGACAATGTTACAAAAAAGACTGTGATTTTTGTTTTGGTTATAAAACTTTCAATCGATTTTCTTATTTTTTATACATGGCTTTATTTGAGAAAAAAAAAACATTTCTTAAAACACTAAGTTTCTGTACCACCAACAAGACATCAATATTAAAAAAGTTTCAAATGATTGATTGATATTTAGGTTTGGAAGACGATGGACCCTTGTATTCCACTATATACTGGGGGGTATACTCTGTATGTCAACTGCTGCTGTACCGCTAGGTAATTGATCACTTGGTGCACTTTGTTTCTCTACGGGGATTTTCAAATAATTCCACTCAGGAGTTTTATTTCAAATTATTTTTTGAAGAAATCAAAATTTTCAGATGAGCGAGTTAGTTATTTTTTCTTTTCGATTCGTTATTTCATCTTTCGTTAACGACCCATTTCGTTTGTATTTCTTTTCTTTAGTCATTCGGTCATTATTCATGAAAATTTGATTTTATTCGTTTCAAGAACTATCGTTTATTTTTCATCTATTTGTTCGTTTTTTAACTGTATAATATCAAGATCAGTTTCCATCTTTAAATCTAATATCAAGATCAGTTCCCATCTCTAAATCTAATATCAAGATCAGTTCCCATCTCTAAGTCTAATATCAAGATCAGTTCCCATCTCTAAATCTAATATCAATATCAGTTTCCATCTTTAAATCTAATATCAAGATCAGTTCCCATCTCTAAATCTAATATCAAGATCAGTTCCCCTCTCTAAATCTAATATCAAGATCAGTTCCCATCTTTAAATCTAATATCAAGATCAGCTCCCATCTTTAAATCTAATATCAAGATCAGTTCCCATCTCTAAATCTAATATCAAGATCAGTTCCCATCTCTAAATCTAATATCAAGATCAGTTCCCATCTCTAAATCTAATATCAAGATCAGTTCCCATCTCTAAATCTAGTATAAAGATCAGTTCCCATCTCTAAATCTACTATCAAGATCAGTTCCCATCTCTAAATCTAATATCAAGATCAGTTCCCATCTCTAAATCTAATATCAAGATCAGTTCCCATCTCTAAATCTAATATCAAGATCAGTTCCCATCTCTAAATCTAATATCAAGATCGGTTTCCAATCCAAAATCCCAAAAGATCAAATTAAGATATCAAACTGAGAAGATTGGGGTTTATTTACATTTCATGTACTGTGACGTATCAGGAAAGCTTTAAAACTAAAGTAAACAAACAACATTATGCACAGGCCTGTACACCTAAAAATATGTTTTATACATGCGTGTATACCTATGAATATGTTTTGTACAGGCGTGTATACCTATGAATATGTTTTGTACAGGCGTGTATATCTATGAATATGTTTTGTACAGGCGTGTATACCTAAAAATATGTTTTGTACAGGCGTGTATACCTATGAATATGTTTGTACAGGCGTGTATACCTATGAATATGTTTGTACAGGCGTGTATACCTATGAATATGTTTTGTACAGGCGTGTATACCTATGAATGGCCTATTGTTGTGCTAGCAATGTGCGGAAAGTATGTGTCCCAGGTATGATTATAAAAACTTTTTATTTTTTTATTTTTAACTGATTAAATTTATATTTCTAAAAATATGCAGACTGCAAAATGTCTGTTCTCACTGTTTTTCAAAATGATACCTAATTTTTTATCACATAAATTCAATAAATATTGAGAGACCCCTGTTTAGGTATTTCTAAAAAACCTGTTTATTTTGAATTTTCTGAAAACTTTTGATTAAAATAAAAGTATATTTTTCAATGAAAATCAAGCACAGAGATCAAAGAACATTATATTCTCTGCAGCTAAAATGGAAAATCTTTATATTCTTGAATAAGCTTAGCTGTTTTATTAAATTTAAAATGCGCTAATTATATATAATGTAAAAAAATTGCCGAAAATATATTTGAAAATCCACGAAATATACAAGAATAGATCGGTTTATTATTATTATTATTATTGTTTATTAACTTACAGACAAAGTACCATTACTTATTTACATTGGAACAAATAACACACCTTTTAGCTGAGATATGAGATTTTAAAAGCTTAAACCCGAGTGAACCCCAGAGTTGGGCTCAGATAGAACCCAAGTCAGGATTGGCTCTGATTCGAACAATTAGAGACTGCTTAGAAAGCTTTCTCTCTGTAGCAGACAGATTGCTAGCAGATCAGCTGTGACAAGGAGATGTAAATTTCAAAAATTCGAACTTAACGTGGATACATTATTTGCATAGTAAGTTTATTTCATGCCTTTGATCAAGTTTGACACTACAAATAATTCCTGAGATTATAAATGTACAAATAAAAAGTTTTTTTTTTCGAAATTTACGAAGACCCGAGCCATGAAGAGTGAAAAACCCAAGGTGGTTGGTTTTTACTAAACTCAAGGCCATTCAAAACCCGGGTCTTCACTTGAGCTTTTCTTGGGTCTAAGCAGACGCAATGACCGGGTTTTACTGGGGTTTAAGCTTTTAAAATCTCATCTCAGGGTTCGTAAAACGATGAAATTGTGGAAACACGTTTCTATCAATGTCTTTTATAATTTCAGGTTTGTTGGGGTATTGTGTATTTGTACACAACTGAACTGTTCCCAACTGTTGTACGCTCTGTTGGTCTGTCTTTTGCTTGCTCTATGGCCAGACTTGGTTCTATGCTTGCACCGTTTATAGGTAACAAGCAATTACCAAAAGGATAGTTTATGAAATATACGTTTAGATCTTGATATTTTAATTTTTAAATTAGTTCCTTTTAGGATACATAATATATTTGTATTTTATCTAGTTGATCATTTTATTTTCATTTTTAAATAGTTCGATTGATTTAGCATTCTGTTGATTGCCTAATTGATTTAAATTTTTCAGCTTCCTTGGCCTACGTTGATCCTATTCTTCCAATCTTTATCTTTGGAGTTGTTACATTCGTAGTTGGTGTCCAGGTAACCAGTCTTATCAATAGGTGTCCAGGTAACTGGTCTTATTAGTAGGTGTCAAGGTAACCGGTCTTATCAATAGGTGTCCAGGTAACTGGTCTTATTAGTAGGTGTCCGGGTAACCTGTCTTATTAGTAGGTGTCCAGGTATCCTGTCTTATTAGTAGGTGTCCAGGTATCCTGTCTTATTAGTAGGTGTCCAGGTATCCTGTCTTATTAGTATGTGTACAGGTATCCTGTCTTATTAGTAGGTGTCCAGGTATCCTGTCTTATTTGTAGGTGTCCGGGTATCCTGTCTTATTAGTAGGTGTACAGGTAACCGTTTTTATTAGTAAGTGTCAAGGTAACCGGTCTTATTAGTAGGTGTACAGGTATCCTGTCTTATTAGTAGGTGTCCAGGTGTCCTGTCTTATTAGTAGGTGTACAGGTATCCTGTCTTATTAGTAGGTGTACAGGTATCCTGTCTTATTAGTAGGTGTCCAGGTATCCTGTCTTATTAGTAGGTGTCCGGGTATCCTGTCTTATTAGTAGGTGTACAGGTATCCTGTCTTATTAGTAGGTGTCCAGGTATCCTGTCTTATTAGTAGGTGTCCAGGTATCCTGTCTTATTAGTAGGTGTCCAGGTATCCTGTCTTATTAGTAGGTGTCCAGGTATCCTGTCTTATTAGTAGGTGTCCAGGTATCCTGTCTTATTAGTAGGTGTCCAGGTATCCTGTCTTATTAGTAGGTGTCCAGGTATCCTGTCTTATTAGTAGGTGTCCAGGTATCCTGTCTTATTAGTAGGTGTCCAGGTATCCTGTCTTATTAGTAGGTGTCCAGGTATCCTGTCTTATTAGTAGGTGTCCAGGTATCCTGTCTTATTAGTAGGTGTACAGGTATCCTGTCTTATTAGTAGGTGTCCAGGTAACCGGTCTTAATAGTAAGTGTCCAGGTAATCGGTCTTATTAGTGGGTGTCCAGATAACCGGTCTTATCAGTGGTTGTCCACTGTCCAGGTAACTGGTCTTATTAGTAGGTGTCCAGGTGTCCGGTCTTATTAGTGGGTTTCCAAACAGTATTATTAGTAGGTTTCCAAAGAGTATTATTAGTAGGTTTCCAAACAGTATCATTTGTAGGTTTCCTAACAGTTTTATTAGTAGGGTTCCAAACAGTCTTATTGGTGGGTTTTTAAACAGTCTTATTAAAAGGTTTCCAAACAGTATTATTAGTAGGTTTCCAAACAGTATCATAAGTAGGTTTCCAAACAGTATCATAAGTAGGTTTCCAAACAGTAATATTAGTAGGTTTCCAAACAGTATTATTAGTAGGTTTCCAAACAGTATTATTAGTAGGTTTCCAAACAGTATCATAAGTAGGTTTCCAAATCGTCTAATTACTAAGTTTCCTAACATTACTGTAATAATAGAAGACTACAAGTCTATTTAAGTTTTTAACCGTTTTTATATATTATTCAAAATTAGTAAAATAAATAACATTTCTCTATTTACTAGGCAATCATACTTCCTGAGACAAATAAGAAAAAACTACCTGACACTCTGGAGGAGGGAGAGCTCTTCTATGTCGCAAACAATCCCTTTAAGAGATATTGTCAATAGTCGAACAGTCCCTTTAAAAGATATTTTTAAATAGATAGATACTCAGTACCACAATAACGATCATCCCTCACAACACATAATCATAGTTTTATTTGTTAAATAGTTCATATTATATAGAAAATTAAAAACTGTGAACAAATTTATTTGAACTGATGTAACTTTAAAGGGACCGTTCACTTATTTTAATGATTTCATTGTAAACTAAAATTAGTTTATTAGCTATTCGTTGGTATTAGTCTAACTTTTCAAAGAAATCTATGACCGGAGAAAAAGCCGATTTATTGCTTAAAGTATGATACCTTTGCAATGATATTATTTTAACGTTTTTAAAGTATCAACAGCCCAATAAAATCTAAAATTCTCATATTTCAATGTGACAGCCATTATATAATAAAATATGAAAAGTTTTGATTTTAGAATTAGCAATAAATTAACGTTCTCCTGTTCAAACATGGTTTAACAAATTAACATGTTTATACAAAGACGACTTTCTCTCTCAGAAAAACCGGTTCCTAGATTACAACTCTTTAAAAATAACGGGGATTTTGGAGGAAGTAGAGAAAACGTCTCAAATCGTTAATTGTTTAAATTAAGTAATATTTTAAAAAAAGACAATTTAAAAATAATTTTGAAAAACATTAAAGACATCTACAATTAACTATTAGATACTACAATTTAATTTAATAATTTAATTCTTTTTTTAATCTATGACTAGGACAAAAAAAACATCAAATAGTGTCTTCGTAAAGGAAGCATACCTTTGCGCTGGAATTCTAAATGATAATTGGCTTTAATCATCCCGTAGTTGTCTTTGAAAAGTAAGACTGATTGATACCAATGAATGGCTAATGGGCTATTTAATTTATCCTCAAATTACCCAAATGACTGCTCGGTTCCTTTAAAATGTCTCAAGAAAAGCCAAAAGTTGAAGCCACTTCAGAAGTTCATCGACCATTTTGTTAATGACATTCTCTAAATTCTAAACAATCCGCGTTGGAGGTTTAATTTATAAAGTTCTTTAACTCTAGACATTGGTTTTGAATCTCTTTTATTTTGAAAATAAATCATTTCCGGGTTTTAGATCTAATTACTTCTGCTGTTGTATCCATCATAAATTGTCAAATTATACAAATATATTGAATCAAATGTAAGTAATTTTTAATGTATTTATGTATATACAGGATTACTCGCAAAAGATGAGACCAAAGACGACTTTACGAATCTTATTCAGCCCTTTTCTAACACTCTTTTCTTGCACCTGTAAACTTCTTCTTTCTCTGCTAAATTATCAACGATATTAATAAAATCTTGTATTGAATACAGATGCACAAATTCCATCTTTAAATCATCAAAATTCAAAGACTAGTCTCATTTTTTGTGGGTAACCCTGTAAATCGTTAACTATTATGGGTTGAAATTAAAGTACCTTACAATACATAGCCTTGTACAATACATACCCTTGTACAATACATACCCTTGTACAATACATACCCTTGTACAATACATACCCTTGTACAATACCCTTGTAGAAATTGATAAACAGTGTTGGCCACAAAGGAGGAGACTGTAAAGACCCAAAACTCTAAAACTGACGATTTGAAACTCGATTTTTTGTTTCTGCATTCAATCGATTATTTTGATGGGTTACTAAATGATTAAGCAATGAAATAAGACAGTTTTTGCCTACAACGAACCCTGAATGCAAGAAAACGGACTAAACAAATTCCGTACAGTCGTCTCTAAAGTCTCATCCTTTGTGGGTAACCCTGTATATGAATATTGTACCTTGTACAGTGTACATGTCTGTAATTGTATTGATTAGTTATGTACATTCGTTTTTAGTATTATAGCTCATTGTTTTAGTCCCATTTTGAATTTAACCCAAATATAATATTTTAAAAACTTTGGTAACCAATTTATGTCTCTGAAACTGCGAGGCAGCGATCGAGATTGAAAACTATTTTTTTTCAGAAAATTTAGAAACAAATCTCGGCTTTGTAAACCGAAAAATGTCTATCTTAATTGAAGTTTTTTAGACTTTATTGTTGATGATTTCATTAAAAGGGACTGCAAGCGTGATTTCAAGTAACCTTTCATTTAAAGAGGGGCTTCTCCGATTCCCATCAGTACTCTGAAAACCTTGAACTGATCAAGGATTCACATCAGTACTCTGAAAACCTTGGACTGATCGAGGATTCACATCATTACTCTGAAAACCTTGGACTGATCTAGGATTCACATCTGTACTCTGAAAACCTTGGACTGATCAAGGATTCACATCAGTACTCTGAAAACATTGAACTGATCAAGGATGTTAGATATATCCTTGTTAATCTACTGAAATGTGCTTTCAACTTAGCAGGTAAATATTTAAGAAATATTAACAGTTACTTTCTAGAAGTGGAGGAAAATAAATATTTACTTTCGAATGTTTAACATCCGCTTTAACGTTAAAAAGACGATTTTTTCATGTATAAGCTGTTTCGCGTTCATATAATACCAAGGTAGTATAATACTAATATAATAATTAGCATATATATACTTATTACATATACTTATACTAAATAGTAATAATAATAAGGTTCTGTACACAGCCAACACAGACATTTGTAGTAATACAAGCGGGCTTTGATAAGTTTACACACAGAGATCTCTGTACTCTATGACCAAACTACGGTTTTAATCGTTTTAATGGGTATTGTTGTAAATCAGGCATTTCCCTGTTTGCATGGAGAGTCACATAACACTACGCTTACAATTCCTTGAAGGGAGTTGTTGCGAAAAACAATGTTGGATGAACTGTATTCTATGAATCTATTGACGCTTCGGCTCCACGTTGTCTTAACTTTACAATTAGTCGTCTTTGATATTTGACAATGTTGGTACATATTTTGTTATTATATACAGGGGACCCGTAAACCATTAGACTTTAATAACGATCTGAAATTATTTAAGAATAAGGCTGCAAAGATCAAAATTGTGATTTTGCCTTGAATAGTTGGGGCAAAGAAAGAAACAAGCTTAAATACCTGCAATGGAACCAAAAATGTAAGAGTACTGATTGACAACAGTACTCTTACACAACCTTTATCTGATCAAAAATGTGCAGAAGATAACGTCGTTTTTCTGAAAAAAAACAGTTAAAGAAACAAAAACATGCATCTGTAATTCATACAATTGATCATATAAAGCTTTTAAGGGTACCGTTGTTAATCGGGCATAGTTCATTTAGAGGGTACTTTAAATTACGCTTGTTGTCGCTTTAAACTCTGAAAATAGTGATGCAGGTACAGGGTGTCCCAATAAACATGGGAATTCCGGGACGAATTCGATATCGTCTTTTTAAATAATTCTTTGATTTAGTATAGTGATACCTACTGAGAAAGCTGTACTCTGTAAGAGTTTCGTCTGCTATGTTCATATTTTGTTTGTTTATGTTTTAACTGCATAAGGTTGTACTTAGTAAAACAAGAAAATTGCAGTATACAAACAGAGTAAACTTGTCCGTCTTCACTGTTCATCTTGCGGAGATATTATAGGCACATCTTTGCAGTCTTTTATCCTTTTCATAAAATAAACTCTAGCAGACATAATAATATTACGGCATTTAAAATTAGGTATTAAAATGCTAATTCATAACAAAGACGATATCGAATTCATCACTGAATTCCCATGTTTTTGGCGACACCCTGTATACAAATTTCATAACTATGACAGGTGAAGGCCTGATCTTTTGATTGAGATAGCACTCATTCACATTAATTATATCTTAACTCGGTGGAATTTTTTGACTTACTGCGATCTTAAATTCTTAACCTTAAAAATATTTTTGTGGCTTCGATCAAAATTTATCACAATTTTTCATTCTGAATATTCAAAGTAGATCAACTAAACCCTCACAAAGGTACAGATAAATATTTGTTTAAAGGGATTAAACATTTAAAAGTTTCGACCTCTGGTCTCCTATCTGTGGTTATAAAACTGTCACTATATTATTGTTTAATTCTGTTTTGTAATTTGATAAAAGAAATAAAAAATATGACATGGCTCAGTATCAAACTGCATCTTTTAATAGTTATAGACAATTTATCTCCTTGCAAAGGGACTGTGTTTCATATTGGTTCTGGAATATAAAAAAACAGTGGTGAATAATGTTTTCAGAATGCAAAATGCTTCATTCCTGATAATCTTTACTTTCTGCCTGATTTGCCTGGTCAGATTAGGTGGGTTACAGGGACCCTCCCCATTTCGTGATAGAGTAGTTTGCTCGATTCACAACGGTACCCTTAAAAGCTTTGTCTGATTAAGTATAAGTTAAATATCCATGTACCATTTTTTTAAATGGTAACTTTCATTTATGGTTTCTCTACAGATGTGACTTGCGCTTTTTGCTTCAGAAACAATGGAGAAATTAACAGAATAAAATGATTTTATGGCTAGAAAAACAAGGTTAAATATTCAACATTATTGATCAGATTAAGGTTTCAAACAGATATCTGATCACTTTAAGTGAGACACTGAAATTTTACGTTTTGTTAAAATATCTTTAAATATCCTTCACAATTCTCTTTATAAACATTGCCATTGCCATTGCCATTGCCATTTGTGTAGTTTGCACTTTAAAGTATTGTGTTTGAATTCTTTCATGCAATATTAAACAAACCTTACTTTTTTTACCGGCTTTTGAACAACATTACTTAACATGTGATGTTTAGTTACTTAACTGTCCCCAGAGACAATTAAGTAAAATAACATTCCGCTCTATAAAATTTTCGTGAAAAAATTGGCGCAATTTCATTTGAAAAGAATATTAAGTTATGTATAACTAGAGAGGGAGTAGATAATCAGGATTATCGTTGTTTTAAAAAACATTTTAAAATTTATTTCAGTTTGTTTATGACTTGGGTGAAAAAATATTAAAATAGAAGTTTTTTTGTACATAGAAAAAATCCGCAAAAATATTCTTTTGATGAAAATTCGGTTGGAAAATATTTCTTCTAATTTACTCTAAAGTTTAACAAAAATATTTCAATAAAATCTACAAAAACTACCAAAAATACAGTGAAGTCGGAGTTTAAAGGGGCCTGCAGGCGTAGTTTCAAGTGTGGAGTTGTATTTCTGGTCTGCACAAAACTACCCTTTAACCCTTTCAATCATTGAGGACGATCAGATGAATATTTAAAGGGAGTGACCGGCTATGTAAGGTAGTTGAACTGAGTATGCCATGTTGTGGAAAACTTCTTTCGGATTCATTTGAGACATATTAAACTCTTTAAAGATCTGAAAATCATGAGTTTGAGCACAAATTCGACGTTCAAAAATCCTACATTGGGGGTGGATACGTTTTCAGAATAAGTTTTTTTAAATTATTAAATAACGACGACATAAAATTTAAAAAACGTTCTACAATAAACTACAGATGTCAAGTATAGGAGCATGTTAAGAAAAAAAAATTAATCTTATCATCGAAAGTAAGTAATCTTGTTCAATTATTAGTTTCTATTTTCTCATTATTCACAAAGATTTTCTGCAGATTTTCTAGAACTATTATTGAAAAGACGACATTTGAAGAATTAAAAAAAATCTGGAAATGAATTCAAAGTAAATAAGAAATTCAATATATTAATGAAAACGAAATAATCGATTTTAGCATTGATTTATTGACAAATATCATTTNGTACTGTACTGTACTGTACTGTACTGTACTGTACTGTACTGTACTGTGCTGTACTGTACCGTACAGGAAACTCAATATATATCATTACCCAACCTAGATTCTACATTTCAAACAGGAGTCAGGAGTCAAGTAAAAAGAGGAATAGGAGGTCAAGGTGATTATTATTTAAATTTAAAGGGAATGCACGCGTAGTTTCAAGTGACCCTCCATGCAAAGATAGCGATACCCGATTTACAACGGTATCCTTGAAACCTTAATCTGATCAAAAATGTCGAAGATAACGTCGTCTTCATGGCTAAAAAAGTATTTGTTCTGATGATTTCTCCATCGTCTCTAATAAGCAAGAAATGCACAAGTCGCTTTTTTTAGAGAATCCGCAATTAAAAATAAACAGTTAATATAAACAAAAACATTAATATCTAAATCATAAATGATCAGACAACGCTTTCAACGGTACCGTTTAAAAAATCAGGCATTCTGCTTTTTGCATGGAGGGTCACTTACAAAATTACGCTTACAGCAGGCGTAATTAAAGATATTTACAACAGAACCCTTTTAACCTTTCTCACGTCGGGTTTCCACCTCAAAAAAGTGTTGCTCTCTCTCTATTGCATAAAATCCGTAAATAATTTTTATAGAAAGAACACAAGTAGAAATTACGGTGTTTTTGATCCCATATTTTCATCATTTTATCTCAGAAAAAGGTTTTCCTTCGAGTAGGGTAACTTGTAAGCCAAAACTTTTTTTTCTGTGCTTAATAATTTAATATGCCATCAAATATACTCAATTAAATGCAGAAACCAAAAATCGAGCTTCGAATCGTCATATTTTTAAAGTTCGTCTTCGAAACTTTTTATAATGTGGTGTAACACTTTTATATCTTTAAACAAAAAAATTGAGTCTTTGCCACAAACTCATACTTTCAAATCCCTATATCTTTGCAACCTGATTTGCTAAACCTTTGATATTTCAAAAAATTGATCTAACAGGATTAATGGTTAAAAATATTTAAAGTTTTAGACATTTGCACAGAATAATATAGGGATTTGAAAATCAGAGTTTGTGGTGAAGACTCAATTTCTTACTAAACAATTTGACTACTTTTTATCTAATGAATTGATTTTGGAAGCACAGGAAAGGTAGAAAACATAAATACAATAATGGACCACTCTATCCCCGTAGTAAATTTGAATTCGAACAGGACCTGCCCAGTTTGTACCGGCCTGCCAGATAACAGCGTGTACTGACCCGATCCTATGGTACAGTACGTCGCCCTAACCAGACTAACGTACGACAGGGGTCAATTTTCTTTGCATAGTCCCATGCGAGGGCTAACTATGACAACTCCCATGGCGCGTTCAGACTTTTTACAGTACTCGGCCTAATCCTAGGCCTATTTGACCGACCCCACTAGCTTAGTCCACCGTGGGATTAGGAATGATATTATTAATGTCGCAATTCATGTCAAATGTCAAACACCCTGTGAATAAGAAGGATATCTTTATAAAACTGTTATTGAAATATGATAGTTAAGTGTTTATAAATGCCTCTTGAACGCGTCGTAACTTTAAAAGAACCCGATAAATGTTGTTACAGTTAAAACATTAAACAAACATTTTTATCAATTAAAAAGTTTAGATATAAAAATAATTCTGCCAAGGTCTTTAACAAATAAAACAATGTACATGCTAAAGGGTTATCCACAAAGGATGAGACTGTATTTGTAAAGACGACCTGAAACTTTTTAAATATGATGAAACACGTATACAAAACATCTGCTGAAAAAACAATGGTTAAATGAAATCAGACAGTACAAATTCCGTACAGTCGTCTCCTTTTTTTTGGAGGGGGGGGACGCTGTAAATCCAAATTTAAATAATTACCATGATGTTATTTTGTATTGTAATTCTTGTTTTGTATTATAATAAATATGATTTGAAATCTTAACCCTATCCCTGCTGTGGTACTTGAAAACCAGGATATGCTGGGGGGGGGTCAANAACTCCCATGTTTGATGTTCAAATATAACAAATGATACATCATTGGAAAACTCTTGTGCTCTACTGTAGAATCTGCAAAAAAGTTTGCAAATTTGCAAAAATTGAATTTTTTTGCAAAATCCAGTTATATAGTAAAAATGTTTGCAAAAACAATTGTGCAAGAAATGATAAATATACAGTTATCAAAATCTCAGAACTGAAAGAGGGTCAAAACAGAGATTTAGTTTGTCACAGGAAAAAGTAATCATTTAGGTGTGTGCCTGAGAACTCAGGCAGTTAGTTTAAAAGCCCAGTTTTAGGCCTAAAGGGGGGGGGGGGCTTTGTGTAATTAGCAAAAGTCAGAAAACTTCAACAGCCTCAGACCAATACTTTTCGAATTATCCATGCTGTTAAAGAGCTTGTAAGAAATCAAAAATTAAAATCACGAAGTCGTCTTTATTGTATTGATATAAAAGGCGACGACCGTATCAAAACATAAACAAACAAATGTTAAGCCTAAGCAGATGAATTACAGCTTTTCTAGTTCAAAGCCTCACTTTAATTAATCACGTCAAACTAAAGTAAATTGCACGCAAGATTAAAATATTACGTATTTCAATCATAATTCCTCTTATTAAAAACTATTCAGAAAAACAAAAACAGTTTTAATTTCTTCCATGCTGTTAAAGAGCTTGGAAGAAATCAAAAATTAAAATCACAAAGTCATCTCTATAGTATTGATAACAACGGCGACGACCGTATCAAAACATAAACAAACAAATGTTAAGCCTAAGCAGATGAATTACAGCTTTTCTAGTTCGAAGCCTCACTTTACTCAATCATGTGACTAGGGATGTTAACGTTTTCAATTTTTTGAAAAACGATTGTTTCGTTATGAAAACGACGACGAAAAATCGAAAACAAAACTATCGTTTTTTAAAAATGGTTGTTTTTAATAACGATCGTTTTTCAAAACTATCGTTTTTATAAAACTCGTCGTTTCATCAACGATCGTTAACGACGAACCTTCGTTAACGACATTCCTTCGTTCGTTAAGGAAGAGAGGAAACCGATCGTTAATGAAGAGGCGAAACCGACCTAAAGGGAATCTGTACTTATCATTGAGTAGTTTTTAAGAAATTATCAAGAAGTTTTAGCTCCCCCAAAGCTGTTTAACATCATGTAAGACGACATTCAATAAAGTTGCATGTAATTTTTTTAACGATCATTTTCCAAAAACGACCGTTTTTATAAACGTCGTTAACGATCGTTAATGACGACCCTTAGTTAACGATAGTTAACGACGACCCTTCTTTAACGATCGTTAACATAATTGTCAATACAAATTTTTTTTCAAAAACGATTGTTTTTTTCAAAAGCGATCGCTTTTTAAAAAACAAACGTTTAAAAAACGGTCGCAAATAGTTTTCATAAAAAACGATCGTTTTCAAAAACGATCGTTATTAGTTTTCTAAAAGTTCAAAACGATTAACAACTTTATCAAGTCATACTAAAGAAAATTGCACGCAAGATTAAAATCTTACATATTTCAATCATAATTCCTCTTATTAAAAACTATTCAGAAAAACAAAAACAGTTTTAATTTCTATAATATTTTTTCTCAGACTTGTCCATAAAATCAAATCTTGAGAAGCTAGAAGGTCACAAAGTCGTACCACTATTGTAGTATACACTTTACCTTCTCAGTCTGTCTAGTTCATAGTGAAATAAAATATTAGATCAAGGTTATAATGCAAGGAAAGTTATTTCAGAGGTGTACGCATCCTTTGTACTGCAAAGTACTGTCTCTGGGCGGTAATGTAAACACAAGACGGATATCGAAGCCTGACATGGGATCCATCTTTTACATAAAAAATCCATGAAATATTCTGGTCACAGGAAACTATTATGTGAATTATTAAAATTTAATGCTTTTAACCTCCTCAAATTCTGAACGATCACTGATGGATCTAATCTTGTTTACAAATTCCGCCCAGAAACTGGTTTCAATATGTACGCACGTAGATTATACGCAACTGCAATTAACTTTCCTTGCATTAGAACCTTGGCTCAGATTAACAATTTCCATTACATTATATTTATTTCACTGCCTCATTTTCAGGATTCGTTAGCTCAATTGTGGATTTAATTGAAGTATATTCTCATATATTCCAACTATGGATTTATGCTCGAACTATCCTAGATCTGTACAACGATAATCAGAAGGCAGGTTAGTCAAATACCTGATGATTTAGAAATAAATAAAAATGGAAAAATTAAAGTGGGCTAAAAATTTTGCAATAGCGTTTACTGCAGGCCAACCGTGGTCTGAATTTACTAAATATCTTTAAAATTCTAATGGTTTAGAAAAAATCAAAAAGTAATGGAACAAGACCGAAAATGTAATTTAAGAGCTGGACTCGCTGGACATTCGTATTTAGATAATATTTCATAATATTTTTTTTATTTTTCATGATCTGAGAGTTACTTTTGAAAACTTTTATTCCTGTTTCGAGGATTTTCTATAATGAAGACATTTTCACAATTTTCAGGAATGTTCGAAAATCCAGCGCCACCGAAATATTATAAAAAAAGCAAAAATATTATGAAATATTAACTAAATACATTTCTGCATTGCCAATACAGTAACCTTTGGCCGAATTTAAAGAATTTGAGCGGCGGTTTAAATCCGCCAAAATCCGGTTTAAATTCAGCGCCGGCTTAAATCTTGAAACATTTGATACAATTTTAAAAGGAACCAACCATATTTAAACCGCAACTTAAATTTAAACCGCCGCTCAAATTCTTTAAATTCGGTCACTTGAAACTTTATTCTGATCAATAATGTGGAAGATTACGTTGCTTTTCTGGCTTGATTAGTGCTGATTTCGGATATTTCTCCATTATTTCGAAGCAAGAAAAAAGTACGACTGTCCCTGGATCATAATGATTATTTGAAAAATTATTGAATTTCTGGCAGAATTTTAATTTTGCGTAGTCCCCGCCATTAAAGACTTTTGCTAAAAAAATTATTAAAGTGTAGGAAGGAGGGGAATTAAGGAAATCCCTCTGATCTTGCCAGGCTACTGTTGCATGAAGAGTGCTGGGTCGATTTTAAACTTGATAGTTCACGCATGGGATAAAGACATTTTTTTTGAAGTACAAAAATACACTCCGACACAGTGAACTAGTTAGAAATACACTCCGACACAGTGAGCTAGTTAGAAATACACTCCGACACAGTGAGCTAGTTAGAAATACACTCCGACACAGTGAGCTAGTTAGAAATAATTACTCTCTTTTCTCTTAAACTTTCTTTAATACTAGCTGAATGGCCCGGTGTTGCCCGTGAAAAAAAATGTTTAAAAAAATTTGAAAAAATGAGTGTCCACAAAAAAATTTAGCCCAATCGGTCCAGCTGTTTGGCCGGCCATACGCAACATAGATATATACAAATGTCTTGTTTTATTATATAGATAAATTTGTTTTAGTTAAGATGCCAGTGAAGAAAATGACTGATATGGATGAAAATAAAACAAACACTAAGAAATCTGATTTTACCATTGATAAACCATCCTTAGAATCTGATTTTACCATTGATAAACCATCCTTAGAATCTGATTTTACCATTGATAAACCATCCTTAGAATCTGATCATCTTATATTTACAGTACTCGCTGACATTGTCAATGAAGACAACCTAACAATCAAAAATACATCTTTGAGTCACAAAAATAACGAATTGACACCTGATAGAATTCAACTGAGTGAACCACTTGTAAATCTAACATCTCTAGAGTACGAGGAAGAATTACTTCAAGAACCAGCTAAACAAGTTGATCAAACAACAGAAGAAGGGGAGAATGATCTGAAGGCAGGGCTGTATAAAGTTAAAAAAAAAGTATTTCTTAAACCTCTTCAAAAAACAACTTTTAACTGCTTTTCTGTCTAGTCATCATGGATGTCTAAAAATTGATTAAATTGAATTAAATGTCCCGTGCTAACAACCCAGAGTTGTAAAGACAACCCAATCTGAATAATTTAGGGGTGGTTTTAATACACCATATCATAATTAATCCAAAATAGTAATTTCTTAAATTAAATAAAAAATTCAGGAACTTTCTTTACATAGCTTTGAAAAATAGGCACACCTTAGACCAAATGAAGATATAAACCAAAGAGAACAGACAACCCCTCCAAACACAACAAAAAATTCAGTAACATCTTTTATCTTATCCACTTTTCAAGATGTGGCTGCAACTTCAACTACTATTAAAGATGAGGCAGCAACTTCAACTACTATTAAAGATAAGGCAGAAAATTCAACTACTATTGAAAATTTGACATCAACTGCAACTACTATTAAAGATGTGGCAGCAACTGCAACTACAATTGAAAGTGTGGCATCAACTGCAACTACAATTGAAAGTGTGGTATCAACTGCAACTACTATTGAAGATGAAGAAGCAACTGTAACTACAACTGAAGATGAGGCAGCAACTGAAACTACTGTTGGAAATGTAGCAGCAACTGCAACTACTCTTAATGATGTGACAGCAAGTGCAATAGTTGCAACTACAACTACTATTAAAGATGTGGCAGCAACTACAACTGCTTTTGAAGATGTGGTAGCAACCAGAACTATTCTTAAAAATGTGGCATCTGACAAAATTCAAGAATCTTCTACTCCTTTTATTTTCGAAAATATTGAATCTTTTGATAACCCTGATGCATCTGCTACAATTTCTGAAAGTCCCACATCTAATGTTAAAAATGTCGCTAATACTTTTAAAGCTGTAACATTTAAATCCAAAATTGCTGGATTTACAACAGAGGCTTCAACTCAAATAGGGCAATTTACAACTGAAGCAGCTTCAATAAAAACTAAAACAGTAACATCAATTCAAGAAAAAGTACCATCTACAATTGAAATTGAACCATCTACAATTGAAATTGAACCATCTACAATTGAAATAGAAGCATCTACAATTGAAATAGAAGCATCTACAATTGAAATAGAAGCATCTACAACTAAAAACATACTATCCAACCCTGAGAAAGCAACAATATCAAGTAAAAATACAGCATTGGAAGCAAAAAGACAAATCACTTCAAAAACTCCAATGAATGTTGAGATATTTACTACTGAGCGTGAGACCATTGCTGTCAATGATGAAGCTCCTACTACTAAGATTGAGACATTTACAAATGTATTTGAAGTAACTACTGATAAATCCGAAAGAATCAAGTCTTTTGGTGGAAACTTAGATTCTAATTCCAAAAATAAAATACCTACCAATAGAAAAGGATTATTTGATACTAACACTGAGATTTCTGCTAATGAAAAGGCTAGACCTGTTACTGCAACCACTGTGTCTTCTTCAAATAAAGAAGAACTTAAAGACAAGGTACAAAATATTGAAAAGATACCAAACATATTTCAAAATCTAGCAATATTGGCTAAGATAAATACAACTGCTTCCACTACTTTAGAAAACAGTGCATCATCCATTCAAAATGAGAAACGTACGACAGAAGATAGAGTATCTATTAAGGAAAATGGATATTCTTCAAGAAAACTTGTTGAATCATTAACTGGAAATAAATCAACCTTGCTTTCAGCTGGGACTTCAGTACCTGTCAAAAATCTTGAAAGTTCCTTTTGGCCTTTTCCTAAAATGTTTCTGAAATTTCTTCCGAACTCCACTGTCCAGCCTTCCTTTGATTATTCTATGATTACAAATAAAAACTCCGACAATGATGTCCCAAAAAGTCTGAATAATGATCAAACATCTGATAATGAAGAAACAATTCTAAAAACTTCAGAGCAAAAAAGTAAATTTACAACTTTTCCCATGAGTTATGATTATGAGACACTGTCAACAATATCAAGAGTGGAAGGGATAACTTCATCACAGGCCAATGAGCCAATGATAACTAAAGCAATCTCCATTTACCTCAGCTTAATAGATAAAGAAAATATGGGAAGTGACAAAATTTAATCACATTCATCTATGTAAAAATACTTAAAATAAGTCAACACTTATTTACTGAGATAAGACTTGACAGTTTAAGTTAAAACAGATTATAATCTACGATGTTATCAAATCTAATAAAAGCATATTTGTTTTCCTGGCACTGTGATTATTGAGAATCTTAGGAGTTAAACTGAACATAATCATCTTTCCTTCAAAGTTTGCAAGTTGAGTCGAGACTGCAAATTTAAATTTGACGACGGCATCAAATTGGAAGTTGATCAGAACTGATCTAAGAGTTTAAAGGTTTAAACCCAAATCAAACCCAGCTTTAGCATATATTCCGCCAGAGCAAAGCTCATCAGTTCTAAGCTCAGGCTTAAGCTAACATTTTTCAAGTTAAATTAAAAGTGTAATTTAGAAGATCAAGTTCATCATTGGCTAATCATTTATCTGTTCCAACAATTCAGAAGCCACAGTGACATGGGCTCAGAAAACTCGACCAAATGGAGGTTTCCGGCTTATTTCTAAATCTCCGCTAGTAGGTCTATTATTAGCTATTATCTGAGAAAATCCCCTTACCCTATTCCATACTCATTACTTAACTGTTATAAAGTTAGTTTTCTAAAAATGGATTACTGTGTTCTGAAGCAGCCATGAACTTTATTACTATTGCTATTACTAAAAGACCAATCTCATTCAATGACCTAGTAAGGGTCGGCTTTTCTCTTCAATCTAATGTTTCCACTACCCTGATAGAAGGCTGTTTGCTAGACGGTCTGCTCGGAATAGAACCATTTCTGGTTCTCATCAGTTTTTTAAGGTCGGTCAGTACCTTAAAGACCTATTTAAAGATTTTTAGGAGCCAGGCCTCTATCACAATGGTAATCCTCCTTCCTTTCCAGCAGGACCATTTTTGGAGCACCATCGCCTCCCAAGTTAGCTGAGGACAGACTGTGGTGTTCACTGTCCATTGGACACAATTTGGCATTGTAGGCAGACAGCTTAAGGCTCCTTTTTTGCCTTCTTAAAGCTGAGCTGGGAACTTTAGAATGGTGGATATCAAGATCAATGCTTGATCTTCTGTTTTTCTTAATCTTGAGACTAACCTAATCTTGTATACTTGTATCGAAAAGTGAATAAATTCAACCAATCAGAGTCCCGTATCAGAAGCCAGGAAATTTTAATTTGAAAGCCATTTAAGATAAATATACAGAAACAGGAGGGGCGTTCTTATTTTGAAAAACCGGTTTTTGATTTTTCTGTAATATACCCCAAAAAGAGTGGATTAAGCAAGCAATTAAAAGTGTCCACATTGGGTATTTGGATTAAGCAGTCGGGATTAAAGGTATCCCATTCTAAAGTTCCCAGCTCTGGTCAGCTGAACTGCATGTGAGAATCCCTGAGAGGCACTCTTCTGCCATGGACCACCTTCTACTGCTTCCCATATCAGTTCTTAAACTTTTTACCTAAGTGTTCCCGCCTCTGATGCAGCACCACACTCTTCTAGCTGCAGAGTTGTTAAGGACCTGGAACCATTTATCCTAGCTGCAGGACCACTCTTATGGTGGTGTGCTCTGAGTATCAAAATATTCTGGTTTGTGTTAATCAACAATGAGCATATTCTTATACATAGATTTCTTGTCCCACATAAAACTGTGCAGTTGGGGTATTAGTTACTCCTTACTGAGGAGACAATTTTCGTTTAATTTTATAATCAAGGTGTCATTAGAAAGCTCTATATTTCAGTTATTTCATGATGTAATTTTTTCTTCTACATATGTTGTACACTTATTTTGTTAAAATTAATTCTTTAAGCTTAAAGTCGAAAACCAATTTCCCGGATTTCTCAAATTTTCGATTTTTCACCTCTCATTGTTATTCGTTCATAAAGTATGAACACATTAAAAGATTTTTGGATTTTTTTTAATCATAGGTTAGTCTTAGGTTTCTTTTTTAACTTGAGTTTCGAATCAGCGATCATTACTTTTGGAGCTTAAAAGCAATCTGAAAATACAATTAGCATTAAAAACACAAAATATTTTTTTTTAAATTTTCTTTTTGAAATCAGTTGGTCTAATCCACAGCTAACTTTTTCAACAACATTTTTTATCTAACCCACCTGGGCACAAAAATAAAACATTTTTGTGAATCTGAAATCACGAAAAAAAATCATCAATTTCATTAAGAATTTTTTTACACTAAAAATGATTTTTATGTCAGAATTTGTTATTGGTCCATTTTTTTGATAATTTAATAAATTAGGTAGTTTATTGGCCGAAAATGTTGTAAGTTATTTGATTTCTAAGGGGTCATTTTTAGTACGTCAAATTATATTTATAGTAAACAAACATCGTGATGGGTATCTAATTAGGGGTAAATGCCCATTATGAGTCCATTTTTAATTTGATTTTTTCTCTCTAAAATTTTACCCCTAAGGTCACAACTGCCCTTTTTGACAGAGTGGTCATTTTGTATGATATCATTATATCAATGGACCACTTGGGAGGTCAAAAAGGTCAATAGTGCCGTCGACATTTATGCTAGTGACATAAAAACAGTTAGTATGTGGGTTCACCCCTATTTCGGTACCCATGACGGTATGAGTGCTCCATTGATATAATATGCCCGCCAAAATGACCACTTGGAGGTCAAAAAGGACAGTTGTGACATCGGGGGTCAAATTTTGATTTTTTGTTACAGAATATATAGTCAGCATTAACAGTGGTCGTGTGTAGTCTTATATTTAATGAATTAACAAGCTGAAAAGCTAATCTGTCTATTTTAAAGGTTTATTACACGCAAACATACCTAATTTAAAGAAAATATACACCATCAACTAACCCAACCTAGTTACAGGTTTCTTACTCTGACTTTTCTTAACAAAAAAAAATGTTATACTAAAAATATATTTGTGAGAAAACAATTAAAAATCTCATTAAAAGGTATAAAGTGTAGCATTTCAGTGTTCAGTTCTGCAAAATTAGCTGTACATTTTTAGTTCATTAGACAGTGCAGTATTGTTTTATGCATACTGTAAAGTACAAACGAGTGCAGTACATTACTTTTAAATGCACAAAGTACTCCAATAACAATGAAATTTCAAATTGGGTTATCAGAAAACTATGCTCGTGCATTAGAATCTTTTAGAATGACTTGGGAAAAGTACTGTACAGTGTACAACATTATGTCATGAATACAAAATTAAACAGAAATGAACACATCATGTACAGAATACACTTGACAGCCTAAATAACAAATTCATCTAATCCTGATGTACGGCAAAATGATGAAGCAAAATGCAGTACTGAAATGTTATTACTAGGAGAGGAATTCTTTGCACTTGAGATTGAAGAGAGATCTAGTTCTTTCTTGGATAATTTCCTCTACATTCATCTCATTACGTAGCATCCGAAGCTGAACATAAAAAATATATTAATTTAATAGATATATCCCCCAACACAGTTAAGCTTGGCGTTAAAAGGATTGGATATGTAGGATCAAGAGCAGTGCTTAGGATCTATTTAATTTTAATGCGGATCCGGATCCAGGTCATTTCTATAAGATTTACTGAATCTTTTGAACAAAAAATAATTTTCAAATTTTTCGCATATTTTTATCCTTAAACTTGATAAATCATTCAGAAATGAGGCAATTTTTATAATCTATCTTTTTTTCAAAAATTCAGATTTTGGATTTAGAAGTAAAAAAGGTTTTGTTTTTTTGCAGTTTTTGGTTGATATTTTACCCGCAAAAATATGCGGATCCACGGATCCGGATCCAGGAAGCCAAAATCTTGCGGATCCAACGGATCAGGATCCTAAGCACTGATCAAACGACTCGCCTTTTCTGAAGTGGTAATTAAAGTCCAAAACGGTTTGTATATTCAATAAATAATGGGATATTCATTTTTTCACCTTTGAAATTTGATTATTTTCTCTTTAAAAGGTACTCTTTAGAGTGTAATATGTGCAACCAGTAACATTAGACGAATGTGTCAGAATTTAACATTTTAAGCTAGGCATTTTATATTTCTGTCCAAAACATTGCATATTACCCCAACCCCCTTAAAGTTCCCTGAACTAAGGACATGACAGTGTTTTTTTTTGTGATAGGGTGAGGCTTGATAGGTTACCGTTGATTGTTTAGTTCTGAGAATAGGTAGGGAAGCGTCATTCCCAGTTTCAAAATCTGATTTGTACTTCTTTACCTCACCACCCATTAGGCTTATACAACGGTTCAAACTTTCACTTCTAAAATGGAAAATAAATGAAGAAAGTTTTCCCCATCTCCTTCCATTAATCAGGGGTGAAATTTCTTTTTAAATCATTCTCCCACTTAGTAATATAATTTGTTCTTCAACACAATTTGTTTAATCCATTTATTCGCTGAATTAGTTAAAGTAAGATTTTGGGTAAGAAGTATGAAAAACTTTCGTTTTGATGTTTGACTTTCATTTTTTCCCAGATCTTCAAAAATCTTTCTTAAAAAAATCTTGATGGATTCTTTGTCTAAAGCACAACCGTGCGTCACGTCGGTTGAGGATACCTTTGTTAGACATTCATTGATTTCATATCAATTGTTTATAATTCAAATATTTAAGAAAGATTAGTGAAAAATTTAAAAATTTTGTGCTGCAGAACACAAAATGACCCATCAAATTTAAATTGAAATAAAAAGCCTAATTAATAATTTCTACATAATTTTTTCTCTCTTCATTTTATTGTTTGTTGTTAAATTGAGTCCTAACCTGTGTTTATAGTTAGTCTCCATCTCTTGCTGGAGCTCACGGCAAGATTCTTAATTAACCTTCAAGTCATAACTTTGATTCAAGAATTAAACAAATAAATTATTAAAAAAAATATGATTATTGAAGAATTATGAAAAAAGTTTTGATAGTTCTAACCCACAAAGCTTCTTGTACCCTTAAACAAATTTACAAAATCAAGCAATAAAAACCTTTATCATTTAAGCGTTAACATTCCAAACATATTGTAGCGGGGAAGCTGATTTTTATTAAATTACCAAAATACATAATTATTGCCCCCCCCCCCCCTCTTCATCCCAATGAATCCCGGTGAGCTGAGAAGGTTTGGATTCCTGTAGGACTGGTTCCACGTGCTTTGATAGATGGAGTTGGTGTCGACAAGTTCAGGGTAAACAGGATTTTATCATCAATATCTCTAAAATAAAAACAAAAAATAAGAACATTTTATTTCAAAATTCGAATCCCATTTTAGTTTTTCCATAATAATTAACAAATTTGTCAGACCCGCAAATAACTTTTCATCTCAGGCTGGAATAGCGCACAAATATTCGGATCCAAGGGACAAATGTTAAAAAATTGCTCTATACTCACAAATTCCAATTATTATCCAGCATAGATTAATAAAAAGTTCATAATTTCTGAATGGTTTTAGTAAGTTTCAGCACAAAAATAAAAGAAACAAGAAAAAGGTTTTAAAATTTTTAATTTGTTAAATAGTCAATTTTTTAAGCTCTAATTAACTTTTTCCAATAAACGTTACAGCGGCTTTGGTGTAATTTTATCTTGCCTTCACAAAATGTTGATTATGTAAATCTGCGAAATCTTTGAGAGCAATTTAATTTTTCATTCCTTTTCTTTAAAATAAATATTAACAAATACTTATCAGCTACCTAAGTTGCTTTAGTGCTCGCTGAAACATCATATAATCTTCACACTGATTAATACCAGTCATTTTAGCTCTGCAATAGATGGACAGATAAATAGACGGGAATATGAGATTGGAATAAAAATGATTCAAAATAAAATATTCTTTTTCAAAAAGATTTTTATTTATATCACAAATTTGATACATTGATCACAGTAAAATTTATAATTATGAATTAAGAAAAGGCTAAACAATACTTTTTTTGGCGCGACATCGCTGAAACGTAAGTTTTCAGCAAAAATACCTTGTGCGTGTACAAAGTTTTAAAATCTCAATTATTAATGCAGTAGCTGGTGAATAATTTTTTTAGCAAGTAGAATCAAAAAATAATTCCAGTTTTTCTAATCATTTGAGAGTAGAGCAAATGGGTTTTTGGATCCAGACTGCATAACAGTGTCATCATCATCATCATCATCGCTCTCAGTATCATACTCATCATTCTCCTCATCTAGTTAAGTATATTGTAAAAAGATTTCCCTTTTTTCCAAGTTATATACATAAATCTTAATAGTTCCCATCTTTAACCTGATATAAATACAGGAGTGTCAGTTGCATGACTGCCTCGGAAGAGAGCGGACCTATCCTATGCGGTCCCATAATTACAGCCTGGAGAAGTACTGAGTTAGTTACGCATCTCATATCCTACAGGAGAAGCAAGAATTGTGCATAGATTAAAACAAAACTTCATCTTCAGCTTGGTGTGCTGAAAAAAGTTCAACCCCTCGTGGGCATACAAGCCATTCACAATGATACCAGTTTTTTACTCAACCAGATGTGAGGACTGGACTTTTATGGAAGATTCCTCTCATGAGAGCTTCAGGGCTCACAACTCCCCATTTTGCATAAGGGGTGCAGTTATGGGTTTTCCTTAATCCCCCTTAACTCAGATAGAGTATAATAAAGAAGGACAACAGGGAGCAATCCCCTATACCCTTCCTCCTACAAACCTCCTTATCTCTCTCCAACCTTCTCCACAACTCGATGTCGAAAAAAAACTATTTTGAAAGGCCTTAAAATGTAAATACAAGAAACAAGAAGCAAGAAGAAAAAAAGGAAATTGATCAGAAAAAAGTGGAAGGGAAATCTCTTGACAGTTAAAAAAATGACTAATTACAAGAACATCAAAAAAAAATTTTCTTTTTCTTTTCAAAATTAACCAAAGTATGAATGAAGGATCAAGAAAAAATGAAGAACAAGAAATATAGAAATCTCAAAATATTTCCATATTTTAAAAAGGCTTTGTTAAAACAGACCTAGGCTTTTATTGTATTATTTTTACACTTAAGTAATAATTCTAAAATCTCACCAGATTTATCTTCATCCTCATCATACTCTTCCTCTTCCTCCTCCTGCTCATCATCCCTATCCTCATCATCATCTTGACTACGTGCTCCATCTCCAGACAATCCCTCTCCTCCCTTCAGATACTCGGACTCCACAGCTCTAAAAACAACCCTCTTGAGTAGGGCTTCCAATTCGAATTCCGTTGCGCGAAATTGCGCGCAATGATTGCTTGCTCTTGCGCCATTTCTTTGTGGGGAATTGCAATCTAATTACGAACAAGGAAACTATGAAATACTTTTAACTGTGACTTACATATTTATGCAGCAGATACAACAATGGAAATATTCTTGTAGATTCTAAAATAATCTAGACCTGAAGGTCAATTGTTTCAACAATTATCAAACTTTGAAGTTTCTTGTGGTTAGGCTACTCATTAACAACTTAACATGATACATTTTTCCTTTGCTCAAATTGGATGAACATTAAAATGGAAACCTTCTTGGTTAAAATTGTAAGGCTTGTTTAATCAAAATTATATATTTTGCTACAGTGAGAACCAGAAAACTAATATACAGAAAAACAACATTACGGTGTAATTGATATTGTTACAAAAATTTTAATTACTGACTTATTAAATCACTTATTCAGTTAAATGGGTCTGCTTGAGTCTAAAATGTCGTCTTCCTATGCCAAAAGTTTTCTGATTATCATGCTGCATATGAATATTATGAAACAAAAGATAAAGTTTAAATTCAATTTACCTAGAATTTGAGACGAAATGTTAGAAGTTCAGTTTAGTATGCCACTACCAAAGATTAAATTTAATTTTTTTGATGTTGAACGGAATTGCAATTATTGCAATTATTGCTTGCCATAAGGTTTAAATTTAATATTATCAAAAAATAAAAAAAATGAAACACAATGCAAAAAAGTTGGACGGAATTGAGCGCTATAGCGAGCAATTCCGTTGCGTTTATTGCGCGCAAAAATTACGGAAATATTTTAGTTCTAGCTTGGGATCCCAGCCTTGCCCAGGTTACTCATAGTTAATTCCACAGTTTACCCGCACTTGGTCGCTTTTACCGGGAAACTACACTTTCAAAATAAAAGATGGCGAACTCATATTATAATATCAAAATAAAGCTACGAACATTCCTGTGGCTTTCAGTCCCGAGTTCCCCAATCAACATTTAATGCAAATGAACCGGCAAACAGACAAACAGAGATAACTTTATATATATATATATATATATATAGTTGATCGGTAGTTTTCTGTCAAAATATCGTGTCTATCTTTCACTTTCATTATTTTACCTTTTCCTGGCAGTAACCTCTTCTGCTAAAAATGCGTCTGGATGATTCTTCCAGTTCTCTTCCTTGTAGTTCGGAGGATCTAAATATATAAACTAGCTGCATTGCCCGCTGTTACCCGTGAAGTTTAAAATTACTCTTTGAGGAAATTTTTTTAAATTAAAAACATGATTTTTTTATTTCGCCACCCCCATGGTTTTTCTAAAAAATGTCAGCAAATTGGTCAAGCTGTTTGGCCAACTTTAACAAACATGTAAATACTTATATATATATATTATATATGTATAAATATATAAGAGATTTATTATATAGAAGATAATAATTGCGGTCAACCCTTAATCCATAGTGATCAGACTTAAGCTCCCATCCATTTTGGTTACCTATCTTTCAGTCAATTAATCAATCAATCAGACGATATAAATAGGTTACATAATCCCCCCCCTCCCCCTCGCCGGTGAAAACATTGTGCATAAAATGGAAAAGTTTTTTTTGTTACTTTTTACACCACAATTCACTCATTTTTAAATTCTCATCAATAACATTCCCTAGTTAAAGGAAAAGAACCCCCAAAATGAGTGTCTGAGAAAATAAGAGGGAAAAAATGGAAAGAGAAAATAAGAGGGAAAAAATGTTCAAGATAATTAGAGGTGGAAAACTTACAAATTTATACCACAGCCTATACAAGTTTGGATTAATTTGAAATCAACCCATGCCATGTAAACCAAACTACGAAGAGTTTACAAGGTAACCCACAAAGGATGGGACTTCAGTAACGACTGAACAAAATTAATTAACTCAAATGTTTTTGGCACACAGGGTTCCCTGTTGCCATATTTTTCTTCTTTTTTTAGCCAGATGCTTTAATATACCTTGGATAGACTTTATTCAAAACAAAATACTAAATTCAACCTTCACATCGTCACATTTAAAGAGGATAAGGTCGTCATAAAAGTATAATTCTTTGCTGGTAACCCTGTATGATATAAATTAAATAAGCTATGGTAAGAAAACATAACTATGAGCAGTTTTCACAACACATATGTAGTATCATCCCTTGCTATGTAAATTGTAAACCAACCTTAGCTCTGAGCAGTTGTAAAAATCAGTCCTCCCTCCCCCAAAAAACGTATTAGTGAAAATTTACGCAAAAAATGCTTCAGTTAATCCTAATTTTAGAGGGAACTAATAATTTAAGAAGAAATATGTGAATATTTTTTTCTAAAAGATTAAGTAACACCAATCCTCCAGTTATATTCAGTATCTTAATGTCATAATCATTAAAAATATATTTATTTATGTAACTAATATAGGTAAATAAATAGTTCACAATAAAACAGATATATTTTACCGATTTTTACAGCACTTTTTTTACTGCGATAGCTATTTGATAATTTATTTTGTGATTTTTTTGGTTCTTACGACACTAACTAGTATTTAGTTAGGTTGTTACGACACTAACTAGTATTTATAGTTTAGGTTGTTACGAGACTAACTAGTATTTAGTTAGGTTGTTACGAGACTAACTAGTATTTAGTTTAGGTTGTAATCCGTTAACATTAGAAGAATTCTAAAATGGAATGAAGCAGCAACATGAATGTAGTTTGAAAATTCTTAGATTCTCCTTACAGGGAATGTTGATGTCATTTCAATCGACCCTCCATTGAAAGAGGGGCATGTCGGATTCACACTGTTCGCTTAAAATCTTTATCTGATCAATAATGTGGAAGAAATCGTTGATGCATGTGAACAGTTTTGTTCTGAAAGTTTCCATAATAGTTTTGGAGGCAGAAATGAGCAGAGCTGGGATATCCTTAATCCCGATCGGTTAATAAATCTGGAGATTAATAACAAGAGGAGAACAAGCATTATTTAATATGTAGATTAAGTAAAAGAGGAGATTAAGCATTAATCCCAATATCCACTATTCAAAAAATCCCAGCTCAGGTTACTTTTGAGAGGAAAGCACAATTGAAACGGATCAAACTTAAAGATCCCATTCATATCCCATTCATTCTTAACTTGCTTCTTCTAAGAAGTTTCCACGATGTTACTTGGTTCTTCTTAGATATTCCCAGGATGTTACTTGGTTCTTCTAAGATGTTCCCAGTATTTGCCTGAAGGCGCATCGCCATCATTTTTCATTCTGAACACCAGGGTGCCCTCAGGCATCTTGTAGCAAGCCTTGATATCAGACTCAGGTATCCTGATGCGATAATTATCCTAAACATTTATAAATATTATTTAACATATGATGATACTTTTTTTGAGACATACCGAATTTTCGAATATCATCATTTTTCTTATAGGATCTTGAACTTTGACCATGAACAAGCATTTTGAATTAATAATGATACAGGTTTACAACAAAGGTTGATACTGTAAAGACGACCTTTAGTTCTTAGAATATGACGCGCTCAAGAATAAATTAAATGTTCTACCTTGAATATAGTCTTTTAATAGCCTATTAAACAGTTAAGCAAAGAAAGAAACAATTTTACAGTTGCAGGAAACAGACCGAATATAAACTCCGTACAGTCGTCTAAAAGTTGTTAAGAGTAAAAAATAGTATAATAGTATTACTATCTTATTAGTATAATTAATAGTATGATAATAATAAATATTTTTAGTATAATAATGATAATAATTACAGTAACAATCCTAACCTTGACAAGTTTTCTAATTTGCGTTGAGAGATTCTTCGGATAAAGTTTGGTTTGATGATTATTAGGGTTATTTTCACACCTCCGTAAAAGTGCTATATTATTGCACTCCAGTGATTCAACAGAAGTCTGGAGCTTCTTATTCTCTTCTTTCAGCAGTTTAACCTGCTCTGTTATACCCTGCAGGGTGAGCAGCATGTTCGAAAGTTTTCTTCTCTCCTCCTTCGGACCTGGATCAGCTCCAACCTCTTCTTCAGACTCTAGGGAGTCAGATTCAAAATCATCATCTCCAATATCATTGAAGGATGTATCACTTTCATCTGTATCCCCCTCATACTCAGTATCTTTAGGAGGGACATGCTCTGGAGCAGGTTTGATGTATCTCCACAGGGTGACCAGGCGGTTTTGAAGGGTGGTGATTAGATTCTCAGGGTGGTTGGCAGCATGGGAAGCTCGTTGGGTGGATGAGAGCGGTAGAAGACGGACAGGATCTGAGAATCTCCAAGTTACAGGAAGGGTATTATCAGCAGAGGGAGAAGTAAAATCTCCGTTATAGCAAGAAGGAGCAGCAAAAACAGCTCTGCTCCCACCATTAAAAAGAGGAGCATCAGTAATATCTGAGGAGACCGCTCCTGGCACCACCGGGACAGGAGCAGTAAAATCATATTGAGGAATCTGGTTCATCACGCTACAAACTTATTTCATTTAATGATAAGGTTTCCTTTCGCAAGGTCGGATTACTTCTCTTAATAACGGTCATATAACCCCTCCCCCCCTCCTACCCTCACATGAACACAAACCTACTGCGTACTTAGTCTCTATCTACGCAAAACCAAATTGCGTATTTAAAATGATTTTGAATATAATTCATACAAATCTTCGATGACGATGTCATTGGTGTTTCTTAACCGGGTTTAATAAGCTGTCAGTTTCCAATTTATACAGGGTGTACATATAAAATTAGAGCCGGAAAAAAATTAACTTTATTCAAATATTACTTACGATAAGTGAGACATATTCTCCCATCCAAGGCAAACCTAAAAATAGAAAAAAATTAATAAATGTTTAATTAATTCAAATATTTTTAATTTACATTTCTTACACCCCAAACTTAAATTTACCATTTTTACTATCAGTTTCATATAATTCATTTTCTCATTCTTTTCTTAATTTCTTTTAAAAATCTGAATTTTTCATTCTCTTTGCCTAATCTGAATAAATCACTTGTCTCTTCCAGTTAAAAATAAATACGTAATGGAAAAACAAATTAAATACTCTAGAAACATAAATATTTAACTTAAATATAACTTTTTTTTTCAACAATATTTTTTCTTATTTCTATTTTTACACATAAAGGGAATGTCGTTGTAACATCAAGTGAACTTCTAGTTAAAGAGTGGGTACGCCCGATTCACAAAAGTACCCTTTTTATTTATACTTTAAGACATCGTCACTTTTCCACATTGAAAAGGAGTTAATTCTAACAATTTATTCTATGGATTCTGAAGAATACATACGCACTTAAAAGAGAAACTACAATTGAAAATAATTAATACTAAATATCTTTATATACTTAATCAGGCAACAAGGCTATCCTTATAAATCGGATATGCCACTATATAAATTAAGAGTCATTTGAACTTACGTCATCATTACTTTTGAGAATTAATACAATTTTAGTCCCCATCTAACCTAAGAATCATATTAGCTGCTCTGTAAGAGTCAGGTCGACTTGTCCTTGCCGTAGTGAATCCTTTTTTTACTGCAAAAGCTTCGCAAATTAGGAAAGCTGACCACTCCTTTTCATCTAAAATATGTAAACATTTTAATAATATCTAAACTTGAATTTTGACGAGTTTAACTGAATGAAAATTAGGTCCGAACCAGTTGGAAAGAAGTAGTATGCCCTCCGAATAATTTTTTAAGATATCGCAAAGAAAAAATGGTAATTTTTAAAACACTTAACATAATACGTTTTAACCAAAAAATCCGCGAATATTAATATTTTATCATCTTCATTTCATTTAAAAAGCAGTGTCATATGGTTAGTTCCAGATATTGCAATATAAAAAACTATACAGATACATAACAGGTTAAGAAATCCAAAAAAATCCGGGAATGTTGAAAAAAAAACAAGATTTTCAGAAAAATGAACAAGTCTACAAAATATCCCATAAAGGGAGCTAAATATCTTATAGGCCATGAAGCTGAAGGTCTACCTTAAGGGAGCTATAGGTCTAATAGGTTAATATCCTACCTGAAGGGAGCTGAAGGTCTAGTAGGTTAATATCCTACCTGAAGGGAGCTGAAGATCTTATAGGCCATGAAGCTGAAGGTCTACCTGAAGGGAGCTATAGGTCTAATAGGTTAATATCCTACCTTAAGGGAGCTGAAGGTCTTGTAGGTTTATATTATATCCTACCTGAAGGGAGCTGAAGGTCTAGTAGGTTAATATCCTACCTGAAGGGAGCTGAAGGTCTTGTAGGTTTATATTATATCCTACCTGAAGGGAGCAGAAGGTCTAGTGGGTTTATATTATATCCTACCTGAAGGCAGCTTAAGGTCTAGTAGGAACTTATAGCCTACCTAAAGGGAGCTAAAGGTCTAGTAGGTTTATATCCTACCTGAAGGGAGCTGAATGTCTAGTAGGTTTATAATGTATACTACCTGAAAGTGAGCTGAAGGTCGATTAGGAACTTGTATTATAACCTAAATGAAGGAAGCTGAAGGTCTAGTGTAGGTTTATAGCTGAAGGTCTAATAGGTTTATAACCTACCTGAAGGGAGCTGAAGGTCTAGTAGGTTTATAACCTACCTGAAGGGAGCTGAAGGTCTAATAGGTTTATATTATATCCTACGGTGGTAGGCAATTATATCAATATAATAAAAACGACTTTGTTTAGGTTTTAATTGTTATTACAAGTTTAAGAGTAATTATAGAAAAGCTTTTTAAATTGACAACTTCTCTTTTTCCCTGAGTTATTGTGTGTTCACTGTTCATGCTATTTAAAAGCTTGATATAAATCAAAATTTAAATCAAAAGTCGTTATCATTTAATTGATATAATCGCCTACCAACGTACCTGAAGGGAGCTGAAGATCTAGTAGTTTTGGAAGATCAACCCTCTCTGCAAGCAACTGAACTACACTATAAGGCTCCCTTAGCTGAAAAAAAATATATTTAAAGGGATTGTAAGCACAATTTCAAAAGACCATTCAAGTGTTTTAATAGATAATAAAGGATAAGTCCGACTGTTGAGAATAGAAATGTTATTTTAAAAATTAAAAAAAAATATAATTTTAACAATCTAATAAAAAGAGAAGTCTGTGGTAAATCCCCCCCTCACAGAAAAGGATTGAGTAAAATAACTTTGAAAACAGTTAAATAAGATAATGATGCTAACCTGCGCAATAGGAAAACTTCCCATTAACACTTGTAGTTGTCTTGGAGCTTTCGAGGGAAATACTTAAATATTCATCTTTCGCTTCGTTCATCAAGTTAAGTCATTCAAGTCAATCAAGTCATTCAAGTCAATCAAGTCAATCAAGTCATTCAAGTAATTCAAGCCATTCTAGCCATACCAGCCAGTAAAGTCATTCAAGTCATTCAAGTCATTCAAGTCATTCAAGTTATTCAAATCATTCAAGTCGTTCAAGTCATTCTAGTCATTCAATTCATTCGAGTCATTCGATTCATTCAAGTCATTCAATTCATTCAAGTCATTCAATTCATTCAAGCCATTCAAGCCATTCAAGCCAATCAAGCCATTTTAATCATTCAAGTCATTTAAGCAATTCAAGCCATTCAAGTCTTTAAAGCCACTCAAGTCTTTAACGCCATTCAAGCCATTCAAGCCAATCAAGCCATTTAAATCATTCAAGTCATTTAAGCAATTCAAGCCACTCAAGTCTTTAACGCCATTCAAGTCATTCAAGTCATTCAAGCCATTACAACCATTCAAGAAATTCAAGTCATTCAAGTCATTCAAGTCATTCAAGTCATTCAAGTCATTCAAGTCGTTCAAGTCATTCGAGTCATTCAAGTCATTCAAGTCATTCAATTCGTTCAAGTCGTTCAAGACATTCAAGTCATTTAAGTCATTCAAGCCATTACAACCATTCAAGTCATTCAAGTCATTCAAGACATTCAAGTCATTCAAGCCATTCCAGCCATTCAAACCATTCAAGTCATTCAAGAAGTCAAATTCAAGTAAAACTTATAGGAAAATTATAGCAAAAAATTACCTAATCCCGGGCAATCACAAAGTCGAACTGTTTTGGTCAGAAAAATAGTCTGGAAGTGTTTGGTGTGACCAGGGGTTCTAAATATTAATAGTTTGGTGTGACCAGGAGTTCTAAATATTAATAGTTTGGTGTGACCAGGAGTTCTAAATATTAATAGTTTGGTGTGACCAGGGGTTCTAAATATTAATAGTTTGGTGTGACCAGGGGTTCTAAATATTAATAGTTTGGTGTGACCAGAGTCCGAATTTTTAAATCTTGAAAAATTGAAAATAATTCTATGTGGAACCAACCATATTTGCCGCGTCTCAAATTTAAGCCGCGGCTCAAATTCTTAAAATTCGGCCAAAGGAGTTCTACATATTAATAATTACGTCCAATGCCTCTTCCAGAACACAATTTTTGAGAAAGGAATGTTTTCTCTTCTGAGTTAACTTATATTGTCCCCATTATTGAAAATCTAAAGATGAAACATTTATAAATATAATTTTTGGTAAAATTTTCAATTGGTTTACCGTGAGACACTGACAACCTTCTTCCCGCACAACGAGTTGATTAAACTTGATTTGCCAACATTAGGATGTCCCAGGGTACCAATAGTTAGAGTCCCTTCTTTCATCTCAGTATCTACAAGGGTGTATTATTAGGATGTCCCAGAGTACCAATAGTTAGAGTCCCCTCTTTCATCTCAGTATCTACAACATGTATTATTAGGATGTCCCAGGGTACCAATAGTTAGAGTCCCTTCTTTCATCTCAGTATCTACAGTAGGGTGTATTATTAGGATGTCCCAGAGTACCAATAGTTAGAGTCCCCTCTTTCATCTCAGTATCTACAACAGAGTGTATTATTAGGATGTCCCAGGGTACGAATAGTTAGAGTCCCCTCTTTCATCTCAGTATCTACAACAGATTGTATTATTAGGATGTCCAAGAGTACCAATAGTTAGAGTCCCTTCTTTCATCTCAGTATGTACAGTAGGGTGTATTATTAGGATGTCCCAGGGTACCAATAGTTAGAGTCCCCTCTTTCATCTCAGTATCTACAGTAGAGTGTATTATTAGGATGTCCCAGGGTACCAATAGTTAGAGTCCCCTCTTTCATCTCAGTATCTACAGTAATAGGGTGTATTATTAGGATGTCCCAGAGTACCAATAGTTAGAGTCCCCTCTTTCATCTCAGTATCTACAACAGAGTGTATTATTAGGATGTCCCAGAGTACCAATAGTTAAGAGTTCCTTCTTTCATCTCAGTATCTACAACAGAGTGTATTATTAGGTTGTCCCAGGGTACCAATAGTTAGAGTCCCTTCTTTCATCTCAGTATCTACTGTTGGGTGTATTATTAGGATGTCCCAGAGTACCAATAGTTTGAGTCCCTTCTTTCATCTCAGTATCTACAGTAGGGTGTATTATTAGGATGTCCCGGGGTACCTATAGTTAGAGTCCCTTCTTTCATCTCAGTATCTACAGTTGGGTGTATTATTAGGATGTCCTAGGGTACCAATAGTTAGAGTCCCTTCTTTCATCTCAGTATCTACAGTAGGGTGTATTATTAGGATGTCCTAGGGTACCAATAGTTAGAGTCCCTTCTTTCATCTCAGTATCTACAGTAGGGTGTATTATTAGGATGTCCAAGAGTCCCAATAGTTAGAGTCCCCTCTTTCATCTCAGTATCTACAATAGGGTGTATTATTAGGATGTCCCAGAGTACCAATAGTTAGAGTCCCCTCTTTCATCTCAGTATCTACAATAGGGTGTATTATTAGGATGTCCCAGGGTACCAATAGTTATAGTCCCTTCTTTCATCTCAGTATCTACAGTAGGGTGTATTATTAGGATGTCCCATGGTACCAATAGTTAGAGTCCCTTCTTTCATCTCAGTATCTACAGTAGGGCGTATTATTAGGATGTCCCAGGCAGCCAGGTGTTATTAAAATAAAAAAACCTCTCTGAAAATTATATTAAAATTTTTCTGCAATATACAATTTTCTATTGTTATTCGCGAAAAATACTTAACTTTACAGAAAAATACATTTTACATGTTTGGAGAATAGTCAAATAAAAAAATTAAACAACGTCAACCCTGGAATTCGTCAAACATCATAATTTCTAGTAATGCAAATTTAAGGTAAAAATTATCCTTTAAGTTTAAGTTCTGATTATAAGAGATGATTAATAATGGGCAGCAAAACTAATGATGATGGGAATAATTCTAATTTTTCACCTTTAGTGTGATCATATGTTTCATGAACTACTCTAGTCTCATGATCTTTGCTTCCTTCTATCTTTTTCTGCCAGCTTGATAGGTCAACCTGTACATATTATTTTAAAAATAACAATTGTACATAGGTAAAGGTCAAACCTATAACCAGTGAACCTGTAGAAAGTAAAGGAAAGCTGTACATACAGATATAGGTCAACCTGTAAACGGATAAAAGTCAACTTGTAAATAGTTAAAGGTCAGCTTGTAAACAGTAAAAGGTCAACCTGCAGAAATTAAAGGAAACCTGTACATACAGATAAAGGTCAACCTGTAAACGGCTAAAAGTCAACCTGTAAATAGTTAAAGGTCAGCTTGTAAACAATAAAAGGTCAACCTGCAAGATATAGGTCAACCTGTAAACGGCTAAAAGTCAACCTGTAAATAGTTAAAGGTCAGCTTGTAAACAGTAAAAGGTCAACCTGCAGAAATTAAAGTCAACCTGTACACACAGATATAGGTCAACCTGTAAACGACTAAAGTCAACCTGTAAACAGTAAAAGATCAGTCTGTACATTAAGATAAAGGTCTAACAAATAAAAGTTAGTCAACCTGTGCGCTGTGCGTTTTTAATATTAATATTAATAGTTAGAAAGAAGTCAAATTTGTGTAAATATGTACAATATGTAAACTGTACATATTTAAAAATCAACTTGTACACAGTTAACTGTAAAACTGTTATTGGTTAAATGTCACCCTTAACCACGTACAGTTTGACCAAGTTAACTATTTACAGTTTGACCTGTATCTAAATACAATTTGACCAAGTTAACTATTTACAGTTTGACATTTATCTTAGTACAGGCTGATATTTAGGCATGAATATACAAGTTGATTTTAAACTACGTTTAGCCAGGTTGACCTTTAAATATGAAGTGAAGGGAAGGTTTTGTAAAATGTATTCCCGCTATGCTGTAAGATTTACCTTATCTCCGTACAACTTTTCACAAATATCATAGATTTGCTGAGATGCTTCAGTGACAATGCTGAACAACGTCTTCTTTTTCCTTAACAGTTAATAGTTATTACCATTACGTAAAGAGCAGTGAGATCCCAAAAACTGTGGGATAGAGAGACGGCTGTGCCTCTAGTGTACATAGAGACCCAATTCAGTTAATAAATTGATTTTCAAGTAGTAAAAGGGGATGGTGGAGTTGGCACATTTGATGTAGGGGGGGGGGGGCTGCCTT